CTTGAGCAAAACAGCTCAGGGACAGCACCCAGGCCCGGAGTTCAAGCCCCACAACTGACCCTCCCCCCACCATGCCCCCCTCCATTAAAAAAAGCCCATGAAACTCTTATCTCCAATTGACCACCAAAAAAGCTGCAAGTAGAGTTGTGGCTCAAGTGGCAGAACACCAGCTTTGAGTAAAATAAACAAGTGAACAGGGGAGGCTCTGAGTTCAAGCCCCAATACTGGCATATTAGATAATAAATAAATATACTTTGAACACATTCTCTCACAAAAAGATACATGCATTAGAAATTTAACGGTGAATGAATAGAAAGTTCTTTGCATCATTTTTAACATTTCTTAGACACCATAAATTAGGAAGTCCCTAAAAGTATTTTAAGTGTTCTCTGGGCATTGGAGATAAATGACAGTAAACTCAGTTCTACCACTGAGCCACCTTCCCCCTGCAATTCACATTGCTTCTTACTCCCTCCTTTCCTTCTTCTCTTTCTCTTTCTTCTCTTCCTCTCTCTTTCTTTCTTCTTTCTTTCTTTTCTTCCTTCTCTTCCTTCCTTCCTTCCCTTCCTTCCCTTCCTCCTGCTCTCTTCTTCTTTCTCTCTCTCTCTCTCTCTCTCTCTCTCTCTCTCTCTTTCTTTCTTTTCCTTATTTTCTTTCTAGCTATGAAAATTGCTGAAATGCCAGGAGTTTGGCTAGCAGTGAATAGGGAAGTCTGGAATGTTTTTAATCCTGTATTCAATGTTCTTGGTAATATTAGAAGAGCAGCAGAGCCATGCATTCAGTCATGCTCTTGGCTAAAGCCACCTACTCTGACTTAAGTGCTCCTCACATGAAAAAAGGCTGTAAACACAACTTGAGCCAGTGATATGATCTGGCTGCCAAACCAAGTAAATGTGATCCCAACTGGCATTAATATAGAAGGCAGTGGCTGGGCCCAGGAAGGTAATAGTCCCAGGGTATGCTCTGCAGTGGTCACATCACACCTGGAGGATAGTGTTTCCTTCTGCATCTTAGAGTGATGCTGACAAGTTGGAGTTTGCCCAAGTTGGGCAACAGGATGATTGATGAATGGCCTAGAAACTACATTCTTTGAGGAACAGTTGGAGGATTTGGGTGTAGTTTACTCTGGAAACGAAAAGACACGAGGGTGTGGGATATCCATTCTGAAACATTCACATGGCTATCATGTAAACCAGTTGGACTCTTCTGTGTAATCTCAAGTACAACTTAGCCCAATGAGTGTACATTACAAAGTGACCAATTTTGTCTATAAAAGGAAGACATTTTCTCTATAAAGGGAAGATGTTTTTAGCCCTTATGGACAGCCAGAAAACTGCAGCTCTGGAAGGTAATGACTTCACTAATAGGGGATGAGAGTGTTAAAAAAGAGACTGACTGAAGGGCAGGATGGGGATTATGGAGAGATGACCCTTTCAGAACTTAAAGTTCTAATGAACTTTAAGGAACTTTAATGAACTTTAAGGAACAAAGTGTTATTGCTAACAGAGCCCATGTAAAGATGAACACAAAAATGGTTAAAATATACTCTAAGGTAGAAATAAAATTATGAGGATGGGGAGAAAACTCAGACCTAACCTGTTTTCACTGATAGTTATTGCGCACTCTCTCTCTCTTTCTAATGGGGCTTGAAGTCAGGGAATAGGCACTGTCCCTTAGCTTTTTCTCCTTAATGATGGTGTTTTACCACTTGAGCTACACGCCTACTTCTGGCTTTTTGTTAGTTAATTGGAGATAGAAGTCTTACAGACTTCTCTGCTTGGGTTGGCTTTGAACTTCGACCTTCAGATCTTAGCCTCCTAAGTAGCTAGGATTACAGGTGTGAGCTGCCATCACCCAGCTGGTTTAAGTAGAAGCAATTTGTGTATATGTATCTGAAATACACTTTTTTTTTCACCACTCAATTCTCTAGATACTTAGTGTGCTTTACCTCTCATGAGATTTCTCATCTTCTTACTATGTTGTTTTCAGTGTACAATAGTTTGATAAGATTATCCATACTCCAATATTTATAAAACAACATTTCAGAGAAAGGCTGTTTGTATCTACATATCAAAGAATCACCATAGTGGAACAACTGGTCTTAAGAGCTCACTAATAATGAAGTAGCATCTAGTAAAATGTGTGCATTAGGTTAACTTGCCTCTCCTCGACACTCAGTGAGGTGAATTAGTAATGATTACTCTCATTTACCAATGTAGAAAGCAGATCTTTGAGCCGTCTGCCTACCAGGATTGGGAGGGAGCTGGTGCAAGAATACAAACCTTTGACTCCTAGTCCAGAGTTCTTCTAATACAAAAAGCCAGGTGTCTGTGGCTCATGACTATAATCCTAGCTACTCAAAAGGCTGAGATCTGAGGATCATAGTTTCAAAGCAGCCAGGGAAGGAAATTCTTTGAGACTCCTATCTTCAATTAACCACCAAAAAGCCAGAAGTGGAGCTGTGACTCAAGTGGTTGAGTGCCAGCCTTGAATGAAAATGCTAAAGCACAGTGCCCAGGACCCGTGTTCAAGCTCCAGCACTAGCACACAAAACAAAAACTTGTTTCCTCCTAATATTTGTTGGGTCTTCCTCCATTCCCCACGGTTCCCCAGCCTCCCTTAGCCTCTGAGACAGTCACATGCACCAGCAAGTAAAGTCAAGCAGGAACTTGTTTATTACCACCCAGCAAGCACTTTTTAAAGCAAAAAACCCCCTTAGGCATAAAAGGGGAGGAAAAGGAACCAACCAATCACTGGAAAGGTCACCCTATCATGGCCTAAGCTTTCTATACTTTCCCTGCTGTCCACACACTGACTTTACTTGCCTGATCGTGGTATCCAATCAGATTTTAGCATAAACAACTCAGGCTCTGCCCACTCAAGTTCCTCTCAGCGCCATCTTTGCTGCCTATGTGCCCCCCAAATATTGAGTTTAGAACTTACTTGAATGAAGACTGTTTTTCTCTCTTAACAATGGTGATTCCACAGAGTAGGCTGGTAGGTTTTTTTTGTTGGAGAATTTGGCCTGTAATACAAATCCTGCCTCTAGTTCATTTTCTGTCCTAAAGTTAGTTGTCAGCAAATGCACTGACACCTGAGAATACTAGGTCATCATGAAAGTATGGATGCTAACAATCAAGTCCAAACAAAAATTATAGGAGTGTGGAGAGGACAGTATTTGTCAAATGGAGTTTGAGACTGAACAATGTAGCAAGGGCTGGGAAGATGGCTCAGTGGTAGAGCGCTTGCCTTGCATGCCTGAGGCCCTGGGTTCGATTCCTCAGCACCACATAAGCAAAAAGAAAAAAGCCGGAAGTGGCGCTGTGGCTCACGTGGTAGAGCGCTAGCCTTGAACTGAAGAGCTGAGGGACAGCGCCCAGGCCCAGAGTTCAGGCCCCATGACCGGACCCCAAAAAAAACAAAACAAAAAAAAAAACAATGTAGCAAAATGCTTATGAGATTAGCCTGAGTCAGAAAGCTTTGGGTTTAAATCTCTTTTGCCTCTTACTAGCTGTAAGTTAGCTTTGGTTCCTTATATGTAAAATGGAAACTTAGGACCTGTCTTTTGAGACTGTTGAGAGGACTGAGTATTTTGTAGACTGTTGGGAGTACTAATTATGATAATGAGTATAAAGTTTAAACACTATGCTGCTTTTCAAACATGTTTATTGTATGCTGGCATCAATTGTCTTCTATCCATTTTTCTGCAATAGTACATACTTCCTAATTACTATGCTGCTGTCAATATAGTAGGTGCCAAATAAATCCTAGTCAGAAGTATCATGCTGTACTAATAATCAGTAACAATTCAAACAAGTGTCTCCTGAGTGCCTAGTCTGATGCTGCCCTCTGAAACTACACAGCTGTTTGAAAACAGCCTCACCCCAGAGCTCAGGACATGATTATCAAGTTGCTGTAGAGGCCAGCCTGCCCAACCTGGGGTTCCAGAAAAGTCTGCAGATGTGTGTGTGTGTGTGTGTGTTGAGTGAGTCAGGCAGACCAAGAAAGGTGGAGGAGCTTTCATGGGGGGGGATCAGAGAGCAAAAGTAGAGATCTCTGAATCAGTACATTGCTGAGTGACTAAGCTGGCATCAGTTATACTTGTTGGGCTAGTCACAGAAAAGTCACAGGCCTTTAATCTCAGCACTTTTGAGGCTGAGGCAGGAAAACCAAGAGTTTTGAGCCTGCTATATAGTACAACCATTTCAAAAAACAAAGACATTGAGTTGTATTGTATTCCCTTTGTACACTTACTAAAAAGGATTATAAACCCCTTAGCTCACATTTGTAATCCTAGCTACTCAAGAGACTGAGATCTGAGGATTTCGGTTAGAACCTAGGCCAGTAAGAAAAGTCCGTGAGACCCTCATCTCTGAATTAAAAACACCAAAAAGTCAGAAGTAGATCTGTGACTCGAGTGATAGAGCAGTAACCTTGAGAACAAATGCTCAGAGACAGAGCCAGGCCCTAAGTTCAAGCCTCAGGACCAGATAAATAAATAAAAAGTAAGCAAATGAAAAAAAGAGAAATAGAGAAAGGAGAAATGTGTACACCTAACTTACAGTGGTGTGCAGACCCAATAAAGTAGTGTGTCAATGTTTGCACTTGAACCTGGCACACGTGGCTCACAATAAATATCTGATACACATGAGCCGTCGTTACCATTGTCTTAGTGATTTAATCGTATCTCACTGGAAGTATGAACAGTGCCATTCTGGGAATACTTCATCGCCTGGATCTGGAATGCGAAAGTGGGTAGAAGCCACCGTTTCTACCTGAAAGTGCTTTCGGAGAGGGAGGCCCGGGCCGGCTGGACAGTCCGCGACCAGCGACTGGGTGGCATCCCGGTGTCCAGGCCCCAGTGGGAAGGGAAAGGAAGGGACTTGCTTTCAGCCAGACTCCCAGGGTCACGTGGTCGGATGCCCCGCCCCGGCCAAGTGGGTCCCCAGCGGCTGCGGCAGCGTGTGGTGCGCGTGCGCGGGGGTGGGGGGGTTGGGGCTGCGAGCGCGCTCTGCGGCGCGGTCCGCATCGGAGGCGGCACGAGCGGCAAGTGGGTGGCGGATGGCTCTGCTGGGCCCGGCGGGCTTAGGGCCCGGTTCCCGCGGGCCGTTGGATGAGGCTGTGGTGGCGGCCGAGGGGCGCGAGGCGGCGGCCCTGGAGGCGGCGGGAGCTGCCCTGGAGGACGATGAAGAGGACGACGGCCGCGGCCGGGGCCTGCTGCGCTGGGACAGTTTCTCGGCCTGGTTGCACTGCGTGTGTGTGGTGGGCTTCGACCTGGAGCTGGGCCAGGCGGTGGAGGTGAGGCCCGGCCGCACCCGGTCTCCGCGCTTCGCCCCCGCGCCGGGCGGCTCCGGTCGAGCCGCGGCGGGCGGGCGGGCGGGCGGGCGAGCCTGGACCCCGGCGGCTGCGCATCCGGGCGTGGCCGCCAGCCCCCTCCGCGGGTTGGCCGGGCCGGAGGTCCCTCCACCCGGGCCGTGGGAGGATCTTGGGCTGCGGCTAGGGGTGAAAAGTTCTCTTTAGGCCCCTCCTGAATTCTCCTTGATGTTCGTCTTTAAAAAAAAAAGAAAGAAAGAAAGCCAGCGTCCCAGAAATAACCAACAAGGATCAGCAGCACCCGGGAGCGCCTGCAGCAGGATGTGTGTGTGTGGGGGGGGGGGGGGAGCTTTTCAAGAATGGAACAACACCCCTGGCATCTGGTGATGTGCAATAGCCACATTTACACAGCCAAGTGTGGTAGGCCTGTAGCTTGTTTTGGTGATTGCAGTAACTTAGAGCTTCGCACTCAGTATGAGCCGAAATGCTAGTCTCAGCATGCATTTTCTACTTTTCCTTTTTTTTTTTGTTCCCCATTTGTGTGTGTGTGATGTGTGCACGCACGCTGCCTCACAGCCCTTCCGTGTTAGGGATCCAATCTAGAGTTTCAAGAATGCCAGACCCATGCTGTATGGCTATCCTCTATTATTTCTTAAGACTGCCTCTAAAACAGTAGGCCTGAAAGCTACTGTCAAGATGAAGCTAGGGAAAATTGTTTGCTCGTTAATCTGTCAAATTTCCCATCTTTATGGCATCTTATATTAAAAAAAAAGCCTTCCAGTCTTACTCATTTTTGACATTGTTTAGAGTCCTTTTTGTAATACGAGATTGTCTTTATGTAGCCAAGAAAAGCATTGTCAGAAGGATGTATATTTAGAAGTATATTTTGGTTTTTGTTCTTTTGGTGATAATGACAAATTTTAATCTCATTTTGACTTTGGTGGCCTAAGTTGACTAAGAAAATTGGTAGGGGAAGTTGACTAGAAAGCTACTGCTCTTCCTGGGTTCGATTCCTCAGTACCACATACACAGAAAAAGCCAGAAGTGGTGCTGTGGCTCTAGTGGTAAAGTGCTAACCTTGAGGGAAAAGAAGCTCAGGGACAGTCCCCAGGCCCTGAGTTCAAACCCTAGGACTGACAGAGAAAGAGAGAGAGAGAGAGAGAGAGAGAGAGCGAGCAAGAAAGAAGGAAAGGAAGGAAAGCAAGCAAGAAGCTACTGCTTCTTGCTAACCTTGCTTCTCTCATCTTTCCCCCCTCTTTCCCACCTTTTTCCTCCCATCCTCTTCTCTTTTCTGTCTTTACCAGTTCAGTAAATATTTGAGTTTCCACTAAGATCTAGGTAACATGCTAGTTAATGAAGCGCAACTGTAAACATATGCTCTAATCTGCATTTGGAAATTGAGACAAGAGTTCAGTGGAAAACCAAGGCTTAATCTCAGTAGTTCATAGAATTAAATACAGTGTCTGATGCCTAGTGACATTCAGTAAATACTTGTTGATAGAAAGAGTGAATCATGAGCAATTCTTTATATTAGAAAGGTAAGAACAGCAATTCCCAAAGACTTTGAAGAAAACATTGGTACAATTACTGAAAGTTATATCTACAACAAAATAGAATTTAACTAGAAAACTATAGTATTGGCTTGTAGTAGTTGTTGAACTTTTAAATAGCTAAAGGAGGGAGTCTCCTCAATTGAATCAGTTTTGTAATATGAGTGTTGTCTTGTTTTTGACCAAATAAACAGAATGTTTAACATAGTTGAAGAGCTGCAAAAGTGTGAATCATTAAAGGATTTCATTTCAGTTTCATTCCTCATAGACCACTTCATTTGGGCACATAGTTCTTAACCTTTTCTTTGCTTCTTGAACCTCTACAAATAAACAACCATGAACTGTTTACTAGAAAAAGGCTTACTAAGACAAATTTCTGTATGTGTTTCTAGGGACTGCTTGGATTAATTGATAGGCCATTATTTCTAAATTAAGGATTACTGACTTTAGATTCCTTAATGAAGGGCCCAAAGAAAGATCAGCACATTAGATGAAATGTAAAGCAGTGAAATTTCAGAGAGAAAAATATGTATATTTGCCTTATCCCTTTTAAAGTGAAAATTAATTGATATGTTAATACAAGAAGATAGTTGAAAATTCACTTACTTTGAGGCCATATATAAGTTCAAATGGACAGGAGGGGTGGTTGGAATGCAGCCAGAAATGTAGGCTTGTATTGAAGAAGTAACATGGTACCTCCATCTCTACATCCTAGAACCAACAACCAAAGGTGCTCAAAAGGAAGATTAATTACAGAATAGGTATAGATTAAATTAAATTTGGGCAGTAATATTCTGAACCCACTGGTGTTAGCAAAAAGGTAATCATTGAATCTAAGGTTTAAGAACTATTGAAGCAGCTTTTCTGCCATAACAGTATTTGCATATTTCTTAAAAATGCATACACCAAGACAGATACTGGTGATGCAGGGGGCTGAGATCTGGACAGCTGAGATTGTGGATATCCTGAGTAGAAAAGTTCACTCACTCCATCTCCAGTTAACCAGCAAAAAGTAGAACTCGAAGTGTGGCCCAAGTGGTAGAGTCCTAGCTTCATAAACTATTACTTAAGTGAATGTAGGTTCTTGGACTTCATAAGCCTTTGGGCAAGTTATCTTTCTCCTCTTTATAACAGTGCCTTTATCATGACATGCATGTAAGGATTTGTTAAGTCAGTATTGGGAAAGCATTTGGAAGAGTGCCTGAGAGACAGATGTATTAAAATCTGTGTTTTGGTTGTGTTGATTTTTCTAGGAATCCTCATTGTTAGTGAAGAGGGTCCCTGAGTTTTCCTTTGTGAAGTCGAGCCTTTTGTTTTTAGTGGAAGGATCTTTCATCCTTTTGTAATAATAATAATAAAAAAAAAAACTGATGTGAAACCCTTAATGGCTAATCTGGCTAAAGTCGGACCTGTGTGTACTGGTTGTAAACAGCAGAAACTAAGCTGGCTCAAGCAGAAAAGGGGATCTTGGGGTAAGGACGTAAAGGTATTGAAGGCTGTTAAAACACACACCCATTGTTGCTTCAGAAAATGGCTAGAGCTCAGAACCAGTTTTGGTCTTACTTTGTGGGTCTTGTTCATGCTTCAGGCTCCCTGCAAACTGACTTCTGCTTCTTTGGTTTTTTGGAGGTAAGGTTGCCCTTTTTAGTCGCATCATTGAAGAGAATGACTTTTACTCTTGATTCAAACACCAGGGCCTGAATGGGAGCGGTTCCAACTCTTGATAAACCTGTGTGAATGTAGTGGAATGATTCACCTGGCATTAAATGCCTGTAAGGGCCCTGTTCTAAGTGAAGGAGGCATTAAAGAAATATTAGAAGAGAAAAAAGGTATTTTAACTATAGGGAATTTGACTACCTTTTTTCCCCAGAGGTGGCTTTAGAAGTATCAACATGAATCTGGTTTTCTTTTGAAACAAGGCTTGAAATTGTAATTTTGGTCATTTCTAAGTTTGAAACCTGATTATATAGTAAAGCAATAATTACCTGAATCCAGAATTACCTCATTTCTCCAACTTATTTTCTTGGGGGAGAATACCAGGCTTATTGTTGGAAACTTGGCCAAAAATAAAAATTATCAACACTAAAATCTATAATTCTTTGCTAAGAGGCAACTTCAATTAATAACGGGCATTTTTGATAATATCTTCTCTAATGCATTAAAAAAAGGAATAATATGAGGAATCTAACTACTAACTTGGAACCCAAGTGCAGGAAATAAGGAATAACTGCTATGGATTTTTAAAGCCCTAGGATTTTTATTTATTTATTTTTGCCTTGTTTCTAGTGATATACGGTCTTTTGTCTCTACTGCTTTTTGTGTGTGGATTCCATTCTTCATGCTGAGGCCAGAGTCTGCAAGAGTCTCAGTTTGTGTTCCTCTATTACTTGTGTTTGACTTCAAGTTACCTTGGTACTAATTTTAGCCAAACTAGTGTTTTCTTCTGCAACCAGGCCAAAGGTTAATGCACACACTTAGCAGAGGTCAGTGCCCTCTTTCGTTCAGTCAGCTGTGGTCAGGAAAAAGTGTTTCAGTAAGAAGTGGCCATCAGGCTCACTTTTGCTATAGGAGGAGGGGATACTTCCAAAGAATGAACTGAGCAGCAGGACCATATTACTAGAGGGGCATGCTTTTATTGATAAACTTTCATAAATTGGCAGATCATTAAAGACTTAAAGGTATTATATATATATATATATATATATTTTTTTTTTTTTTTTTTTTTTTGTCGGTCGTGGGGCTTGAACTCTGGGCCTGGGCGCTGTCTCTCAGCTCTTCAGCTCAAGGCGAGCGCTCTACCACTTGAGCTACAGCGCCACTTCCGGTTTTCTGGTGGTTTATTGGAGATAGGAGTCTCACGGTCTCTCCTGCCCGGGCTGGCTTTGAACCGTGATCCTCAGATCTCAGCCTCCTGAGTAGCTAGGATTACAGGCGTAAGCCACCAGCGCCCGGCTCCATGAGACTCTTATCTCCAGTTAATCACCAAAAAATAAAATCCTGAAGTGGAGCTGTGGTTCAAGAGGTAGAGCACTAACTTTGTGTAGCTAGCCTTACATAGTGGGAGAATATTTGCCTTGTGTATGTTAAGCCCTGGGTTCAATTTCTACCACTTTAAGGAAAAAAAAGGAAGTAACATGGGACCATATTTAGGGGTGTGTGTATGTGTGTGTGTGTTTAAGTGTGTAAAGAAAGAGAAGAAAGGGAGAGACCAACAGTCAAGCATGGAAGTTATATATCTGCTTGGGAGATATTAGCTGGGGAAAAGCGATGCCCACACTTACCAGTGAAGCCATTTGTATTCTTAGTAGACTTGTAGGCTAGGAAATGTGTGGGACAAGGTGAGCCTGAAGAAATAAGGAGAAGCAGGACTATATCGGGAATTGTGGACCACAATAAGGAAGTTGCTAAAGGATGTTTTTTGTCAGTCCTGGGGCTTGAACTTAGGGCCTGGACACTCTTCTTGAACTTCTTTTGTTCAAGGCTAGCACTCTACCACTTGAGCTACAGTGCTACTTCTGCTTTTTCTGTTCATGTTGTACTGAGGAATTGAACCCAGGACTTCATGCATGCTAGGCAAGCACTCTACCACTGAGCCACATTCCCAGCTGTTGCTAAAGGAGTGAGTCAAAGTCTGGGAAGGAGGGAGCTCAGCCAGTATTAGTGAAGAGCTACAGAAGAACTGGAAATGCAACCTTGTAAAGATGACACAGGTACTGAGCATGATTATAGAAAGAACACTGTGAGAAAGACAGCTGTTAGATCATTATAAGCACTTATATTATGGCATCAGAAACTGGGGCATGGTCCTTGGTTCTATAAGAGGACATATCCAATTAGGCATAAAATTCCATTTTGGTACCAGTGCTTTCCATTGCATGCCACTGCTTTTAGGAGTTTGAAGGTATAGAACTCTATTCATGTATTTTTGCCCAAATTCCCAATGAGTACTTGTTAATGATAAGCTTTAAAGCAAAAGTAGAGAAGAATAGGAGCAAGTTGAAGATTTGGGTTTAGGATAGGGGGGTGAGAACTAATAACAGAAAAAGAAAGGTAAAATGCTAATATTTAAATTTATTGCAGGTGGAAATATGCGTATGTATATATAATTTTCATATGTATATTACTATTTTCAGTAATATTCACTATCTCCTTTTTTCTTTTTTGTAGTACTTCCCTCCAGCTCCCCCTATGAGGCTTGGACTTAGGGTCTGAATGCTGTCCCTGAGTTTTTTTGCTCAAAGCTCTACCATTTGAGCCAAAGCTCCACTTCTGGCTTTGTGGTGGTTAATTGGAGATAAAGAATCTCCAGCTCCCCCTATGAGGCTTGAACTTAGGGTCTGAATGCTGTCCCTGAGTTTTTTTGCTCAAAGCTCTACCACTTGAGCCAAAGCTCCACTTCTAGCTTTGTGGTGGTTAATTGGAGATAAAGAATCTCATGGACTTTCCTGTGTGGGCTGGCTTTAGAACTGCAATGTTCTCATCTCACCCTTCCGAATAGGTAGATTTACAGGTGTGAGCCACCAGTGCCCATTATATAATACTGGGTTTTCAACTCAGAGCTTCATGCTTGCTAAACAAAGAACTCTACCACTTGATCTATGTCCTGGCCCTTTTAGCTTTAGTTAATTTTCAGATGAGGTCCCATGTTTTGCTCGGGTTAGGCTTTGGACCATGATCCTTGACATATTGCTTACCTGGGATCACAGGCTTGTACTACCTCTCCTGGCTTATTGATTGAGATCTTGTCTGGGCTGGCCTCCTGAGTAGGTCTGAGTGGGTTATGACAGAGTCTTTTCCTTTTAGAAGTTATTTACATTAGGAATGGCTAAGCATAATGTGTTAGGCTGGTTTAATGAGATACTGTCAGGAATATCTTACTTTGAAAAAAATAGTTGAATAGTTAAGTATTTAAGTAGTTGGAGATTAAAAGTAACAGGAGTTTATAAAGAGTAGGAAGTAAGTAACCCCTACTAAGTATATTAAGGGCTTTTTGTTGTTGTTGTTGTTCTTTGTTTATGTGGTGTCAGAGATTGAACTCAGGGTCTCAAGCATGTTACACAAGTTCTACCACTAAGATATACTCCAGCCCACTATTAAAATTTTAAATATGAATTGTTTATCCTGATTTAGACATAGATTTAATTGATACCAGATTAAAGAAGGATTTTCTAAGTAATAACAGTAAGAAATCGTAAAGTAAGATGTCAATAGATTTGATTTCACTTTTTCCATTTGAAAGTTAAAAATGAACTTCAAGCTATTTACTGGGAATTGAAGTTTGTAGACTTCTGGGTTATAGTGCCTTTTTAGAGGAAAGACTAAATTGTGACTATGTATTGTGGGCCTAATTCTTAGCCTCCACAGACCCTTAGCATCATACCCCTGTATCTTGTTTGAAAATGACTAGTTTTTAACAATTGATGCCATGTAGAAGAGGCATTATTGTCAATGTAAAAAGATGTCTTCTGCATGTACATCAGCATATGTAATCAAGAAGTGTTGAGACTATCTTTTGGTCACCTGGATAAATTTATTGTTCATCTACTAAGAAGATCAGGATGGTTATAACACGACAGTTGGTTGGTCTTAAGGTGGATGGCCTTAGTTTGGTATTGGCTAATAGCTACTTTAGCCTAGTCCTGCTTCTTTTCCAGTGGCTTGGAAGCAGCTGTTTCCCTTAGAAGGTGGTATGTGGTCTAGGAAAATAACCTAAGAAAGGGGATGGGAAGGTGGCTCAGTGGTAGAGTGCTTGCCTTGCATACATGAGGCCCTGGGTTCAATTCCTCAGCACCACATAAGCAGAAAAAGCCGGAAGTGGTGCTGTGGCTTAACTGGGAGAGTGCTAGCCTTGAGCTGAAGAGCTGAGGAACAGTGCCCTTGCCCATTGTTCAGGCCCCATGACCGGCAAAAAAAAAAAAAAAAAAGAAAGAAAAGAAGCCAAACTGCCTAGGAAAAAAAATACATAATCATTAGTTAAACAGGGGTGGGGAACCAAGGACCATTTCTATATTTATAACATTATTTGTGGGCCATACAAAATTATGAATATTGGCCGATGGGCTTCAGGCAGCCACAAGAAGCATATATATGTCCCATCGCATAACAAATGATTTCCAGGACCTTATATAACTTTCTATGTCCCATCGCATAACAAATGATTTCCAGGACCTTATATAACTTTCCAGCTTGATGTTCTCCACCACAGATGTAAAAGAATGGAAGAAATTATAATAGGCTTTATGGTGGAATATGAAAACTACAATGAATTCTTTTTCATTTTAATTCTATTCCCCTCCTCTCCCCTTTCTTCTCGCTGGTGCCAGGGTTTGAACTCAGGGTTTCCTGCTTGCTCAGTTGACTTTCAACCACTTGAGCCTTGTCCCCAGACCAGCGTTTTTGCTGGTTATTTTGGACACAGAGTCTCTTGAACTTTACTGTTCTGGCTGATTTTGAATTGTAATCCCTTGGATCTCAGCTTCCTGAGTAGCTAGGATTACAGGCATGAACCACTGGAATCTATCTTCATTTTTCTCTTAGTAATTATTGGTACTTATTACTTCTTAGAATCAATTTTGAAATTATTATTTCTTGAAGTAGAGACAAACTGATAGGTTAGATTTTCCTAGGCTTAAGGGATCCTTCTGCCTCAACCTTCTGAGTAGTTGGGATTACAGGTACATGCCACTGTACCTGGCTGTGAAGTATTTCTTTTCTTTTCTTTTTTTTTTTTTTGTTGGTCTTGGGGCTTGAACTCTGGGCCTGGGCGCTGTCCCTCAGCTCTTCAGCTCAAGGCGAGCGCTCTACCACTTGAGCTACAGCGCCACTTCTGATTTTCTGGTGGCTTACTGGAGATAGGAGTCTCATGGTCTCTCCTGCCCAGGCTGGCTTTGAACCGCGATCCTCAGATCTCAACCTCCTGAGTAGCTAGGATTACAGGCGTGAGCCACCAGTGCCCGGCCTGGCTGTGAAGTATTTCTATTGATCATGGCTAGTTAGAATTTTTAGCAGTACTCACTAATGTTCAAGTCTAACCCAATTTATCTCTTTTCTTACAGGTAATTTATCCTCAACATTCCAAACTTACTGATAAAGAAGTAAGTAAAAATGTTGCTATGTGTATTCTATTGTTAACTTTCTGTTTGGCATGTGTGTTGTATATCAGCTTAAATAACTTTTGTTTTCTTTTTCAGAAAACCAACATTTGCTATCTGTCTTTTCCAGATTCAAATTCAGGTAAATATTTTTCATGTGTTGTTTCTCCTGAACTTTATCTTAAGAATGATGGTTGTTTTCATTACATGAAAATTAGTTGAGGGCTGGGAAGGTGGCTCAGTGGTAGAGCGCTTGCTTTGCATGCATGAGGCCCTGGGTTCGATTCCTCAGCACCACATAAAAAAGAAAAAAGCCGGAAGTGGTGCTGTGGCTCCAAGTTGTAGAGCGCTAGCCTTGAGCTGAAGAGCTGAGGGACAGTGCCCAGGCCCAGAGTTCAGGCCCCACAACTGGACCCCCCCTCAAAAAAAAAGAAAAGAAAATTAGTTGAGATAGCATATTAGAACACAAACTCAATTTCAGCCCAACAAACCAGTGATTGTGATAGTTCAATGTATTCTAGTCATATTGTTGTTGATTTTAGTTGGTTCAACTCTTTTAAAAAATATACTTTATTGTTATTATTAAAGTGTTATACAGTGGGTTTCCTGTTTTAGAAGTCAGATAATGAATACATTTATTTTTTGGACAAAGTCACCTGGTTCTGCTCTTAAAGTAATGAGTAAAACATCAAAGAACATTGGGCACTGGTGGCTCATGCCTGTAATCCTAACTACTCAGGAGGTTGAGATCTGAGGATTATGGTCCAAAGCCAGCCCAAACAGGAATGTCAGTGAGACTACCTCTAATTAAATCACAGAAAAGGACTAGGAAGGTGGCTCAGTGGTAAAGCGCTTGCCTTGCATGCATGAGGCCCTGGGTTCGATTCCTCAGCACCACATAAGCAAAAAGAAAAAAAGCCGGGAAGTGGCGCTGTAGCTCAAGTGGTAGAGTGCTAGCCTTGAGCTGAAGAGCTGAGGCACAGCACCCAGGCCCAGAGTTCAGGCCCCACGACCAGACCCCAAAAAAATCACAGAAAAGCCAGAAGTGGTGCTATGGCTCAGGTGGTGGTGTGCTAGCTCTGACAAAAGGAGCTCAGGGACAGTGCCCAGACTCAGAATTCAAGCCTCAGGACAGGCAAAAAAAAAAAAAAAAAAAGGAATAGGGAGAAGACAGAAAACCTGCAACATCTATAGATTTAAGAACTGGAGGTGTGGCTCAAGTGGTAGTGATTGAAAAAGCTGAGCAAGACTTCAAAGTCCTGAATTCAAGCCCTGGTACTGGAACAAAAAACAACAAACACTCCCACAGTATAACCCCTGCTTTCACTGTATTTGATGTTGGTATAATTTGTGGAGGGGAAGGGAAAAAACAAATTGTTTAAATAGGATACAGGTGGACCCATTGCAACAATGAGATGTATGAAGTACAAGTTGTTATGTCGAAAAACTAACTTTACAACTTTGGAGGGGTTGGGGGAGGTAGGGAGGAGCGGGGAGATGGGAAGGGATGGGAAGGGGAAACAAAGGATGAGGCAACAATGCTTGATAAGAAACGCTCTCATTATCTTGCCCATGTAATTGTAACTCCTCTGTACAGTATTTTCACAAAAAACAAACAAACAACCTCCCCCCAAACAAACAAATGAAACAAAATAGTTTTTTAGGCTTAGAATGACCAGATTTTCTCAAGCTGCACATAATTAGAACCCTAAAAAGTAGAATCACTCCTGTCTTTTTTCCTCTTGTGGTTACTTCTAATGTCCTGTCCGTTTTTTTCAGTAATCTGGCTTGGAACACTCAATGCTCTAGTTTGTTTTCTTTCAGGCCTTTTCTCCATTCTGTATAAATCTTTCAGAATTTTTTCCCATACATTTGGAGGTGAAATATGTGGAAAAAAAAGTAAAATCATATATTACCTTTGAGAGTGCAGTAGATCTGACATATAATGATTAGAATCTTTTTTAGGCTTTTTTTTTTTTTTGCTACTAATGAAATATTGGCAGAGATATCTAGGCTCTATTCTTGTTTCATTTCTGGATTTAATTTCTAGAACTCAAGGTAAGCTGAGTTATATGGATTGCAGGGTGAACTGACGTTGATTATACTCTCAGTAGGTTGTACAGCATGTTCGTTTTCAAACCATAGCTGGCTACCTTGACTTTGTCTTTTTCATGTCTACATGAGCATCAGAGGTTAAAAAAAATCCCTGCCTCCCTATATATCTCTTAGGCCTAATGATCATTTTAACTTGATGGCAACCAAAAGGACCCAAATTTCTCATTTTGAAAGTGTCTTCCCACCTTGAGTAGGTAGAAGAGAAGTATTCTGAATCATTAAAGATTCTTAATGTTAATGCAGATGGCATTAAGTCTGCATAAACCTTCCTAAAATGACTATCTTCCATTAGTTTTCTCTCTCTCTCTCTCTCTATATATATATATATTTACCCTCCCAAAATTCCATTCCCCTATGAGTACAATGTCTGTTCATTTCTCTGTTATCCTCCTTGATAAAATTAACATTTTAACAATTTACCAGTTTATCCCAGGTATAATTACTTAAGGAGAGTTCTTTTTTGTTCCTGAAACCATCATATGCATGTGAACAGTTTTTTTTTAAATTAAAATTTTTTTTTGGTCAATTTAATACACAGAGCTTAGCTGCTACTGAACCTAAGAGTATAGAAGAAGAAATTGTCCCATGTCAAGTATCAAGGTTTAGAAATGAATTTTTTTTTTTTTTGCCAGACCTGAGGCTTGAACTCAGGGCCTGGGCCCTGTCTCTTTTGTTCAAGGCTAGCACTCTACCACTTGAGCCATGGCACTTCTTCCAGCCTTTTCTGTTTATATGGTACTGAGGAATCTAACCCAGGGCTTTCTGCATGCTAGGCAAGCACTGAGCCACTAAGCCACAGTCCCAGCTGCTTATGTGGTGATTTATAGCCTTTTGAACACTTAGCTTTATAGTTAGTCTTTTTTGGAAGTATAAATCTATGTAAATAAAAAAATTCCAATGGTTTAGAGATATGAATGGCCCACAGATGTTATTTTAGTGTGTTTTTAAAAAATAAATTGCACATCATGTCAAGTATGACACACTTAACCCATAATGTTGGTTGAAAAAGATTGGTACTTATATGTAAAATTGACAAGAGACCTTGAAAGCAGGCACCTTCGCATCCTAACAGATGACTGTTAATCTGAAAACAAGAGACTAAGTTCTGTATATGTCTGAGATCATAGATACAAGTTGTGAGTATTCAAACAGTTTGCTTCTCTTCACTGCCATTAAATGGTCATTGAAATTACTGTGCCAACTTGGAGAGATTTAACTTTTCCTCAAATAATAACTTTTATTATTGTGGAAAGAAATCAAAGCACTATAGAGCACTTTAGGAAAGGGTCATAAATCAGAATTCTGTTTCCATGATACACATGAGAAAAAATAAAACAACATTTTGGACTGTGTGAAAGCTATACAAATGAAAGAAGATTGTTTTAGATTTCCAGTGGAATGGTTGCCAATCTCACAACCCCCTCTCCCACACACTTTAGATCCTTATGACTTTAGAAAACACTTTGGTTTGTTTTTAGGTTTTAATTTCTTAATCCATTCCAGTGGTTTTTATTTTTATCTTTCTCAGTCTAAGATTAAAATGTGCTTTCCTTCTTTTTTTTGGGGGGGGGGGCCTGGTTGTGGGGCCTGAACTCTGGGCCTTAGCGCTGTCCCTCAGCTCTTCAGCTCAAGGCTAGTGCTCTACCACTTGAGCCACAGTGCCACTTCCGGCTTTTTTCATTTTTGCTTATGTGGTACTGAGGAATAGAACCTAGGGCCTCAGGCATGCAAGGCAAGCGCTCTACCACTGAGCCATCTTCCCAGCCCTGCTTTCCTTCTTATGCATATTTGTCATTACAAACTTTTTTTACTCATTATTTACCATTTTCATCTGGATTTAAATGTTCCTGATGCTTTTATTATGTTGGATACCCACAGACAGTAACCACTGTATTTTAAATATGTCCAAGCTGGGTATAATGGCTGACACTTGTAATCCTAGCTACTCAGAAAGTGAAGATTGGAAGAATTAGAGTTGGAGGCTAGACAGGACAAATCATGAGATTCCATATCAGCCAATAAAACCCTGGGTGTAGTGGTATGTAGCCTGTCATCCCAGCTACAAGTATATGATAGCTGTCCAGACCATCCAGACCACCTTGGACATAAATATGAGACCATCTTCAAAAAATAAGGAAAGCAAAAAGGGCTCAGGTGTGACTCAAGTGGTAGAGTACCAGCTGGCAAATGTAAGGCCAGAGAGAAAACTTAACATTTGTAGAGAAACCATGGTACAGTGCTAAATCTGAGCAAAAACATCAGTTCTTGTTCTAAGTGGATTTGACATTTAGACAATATTGACCTCTAAATATTTCTTCTCTGGAAATAGGAATATGGTTATGTACTTTACAAAGCTTGCATTATCTATTAAAAGGCCACTTTGGGTTATTTTGTTTGTTAAATGTCCTGTATGTCATAGATTAACTTTTTTTTTTTTCTTTTTGTGCTGGTCCTGGAACTTTAACTCAGGGCTTGGCCGTTGTTCCTTAGCTTTTTTTTTTTTTCCAAGCATTCCTTAGCTTTTTTGCTCAAGGCTAGCTCTACCACTTGAGCTATAGCTCTACTTCTGGCTTTTTTTTTGTGTGTGGTTAATTGAAGATAAGAGTCTCATAGTCTTTCCTGCCTAGCCTGGCTTTGAACCACGATCTTCAGCTCTCAGCCTCCTGAGTAGCTAGAATGATAGATGTGAGCCACTGGCACCCAGCACTTTTGTAAAATGCAACTTAGATGAATGATTAGAAAAATGAAATAGAACCCAGAAAATGTAAAATACAAGTCTAAATTCTAGTAATATCAAGTTGTTTATAAAGGTTTTAAATGTTGCTGGGAGGATTGCAGTTCAAAGTTAGCTGGGGCAGGAAAGTCTGTGAGTAACTTATCTCCAGTTAAAACACCAAAAAGCTGAATTGGAGTTGTGGTTCAAGTGGTAGAGTGCTAGTTTTGAGCAGAAAACAAAACAAAACATTGAGTAACAACACCTAGGCCCCAGGACCAACACCCCATTACCTCCAAAAAAGCTTTTAAATGTGTACGCTCAATTTGTGTATTTATTTGGTCAGGGTTCAGTTTGTGAACTGAAACCAGTGCAGAGACTACTTTGAGATGCTCTGTTCTAAAGTACTGTTTCTCGGCAATTCCAACTCATAACTCTGATGACAGAGTCTTTGTGGAGGTTAAAGGACAGTAGCTAGGATTACAGACATGAGCCACAGTACCTCACTTTCTTTTATTATTTTTTTTATTAAGTAGTTGTATGATGAGGTTACAATTCCATATGAGTACAATGCTGACGAGTTTTGATTGAAGAAAAGAAGTTTCTATTTCTGTTTCAGTTGACCTCAAAGTGACATTTAAAAAACAGCTTAAGATACAATTTACATAGAATGCATTTTATATTTCAGTGAATTTTTTTGTTGTTCTGTGTCTTTTTTGTACTTATGGTTCAAGGATACCTGGGCTACTTAGTGAGAATATGTCTCAGATATCAGTAAAAAAAGAAACTGAGTTGAGACATACTTGACTCTTCTTGACAGTTTAGGCAACATTTACTATAACAGGGTTAAAGTATAGGAAGAAGTAAAAATTTGAGAAACATGTTCTGTCTCCCATGCAGAAAATGGGAATTAAAGACTTCTAGCCATATTTAATTTTTTTTCTCCACCAGCAAAGTAATATTAGTGTTTATAATTGTATGTAGATGTACTTGCTGGTTTGCTTTAAAAAAATTAAACATATTGGGACTATGTTGGAAGGATGGGTGCGAATATTCAAAGGAGTAACATTGTTGAAGATGCTTTTGTATTCATAGATTGCTTTCTTGAGTGACAACTCCTATGTACAACTACTTAAAGGTAACAAAAATATATTTTAAAAAGTGAACAAATGCAGTGGTGGTACTCATAGACATCATGTTGAAAATGAGCTATGCATCTTGTAAGTGGAACTGGAAGGAATCAACAGAGAGTAAAAGAAGGGGTGACATTGTCCAAAAAGAAGTGTACTCTTTACCTGACTTAGGAAACTATAACCCCTTTGTGTATCACCTTTATAATAACAATAACAATAAAAATTAAAATACATACAAAATTTAAACATGTCAAGTTTGTTTTCCCTTCCAGAATGTCAGATAGCTATGTATGTAATAAGTAATAATAAAATATTGAGCATATTTCACATTTATTAATTATAAATCTAATGACTTGGAAAATTTAAGTGACAAGTTACTTCATGTGTTTTTTAATAGAATAATTTTTAGAATACTAATGGTTTTAAAATACTTTTTTTTTTTTGTCAGTCCTGGGGCCTGAACTCTGGGCCTGGGCCTTATCCCTCAGCTCTTCAGCTCAAGGCTAGCGCTCTATCCCTTGAGCCACAGAGCCACTTCCGGCTTTTTCTTCTTGTGTGGTGCTGAGGAATCAAACCCAGGGCCTCATGCATGCAAGGCAAGCGCTCTACCACTGAGCCACCTTCCCAGCCCCTTAAAATAATTATTATCTAACAGTTTACTTAGGTTTTACTTTTTATTTTTGATGGCACTGGGGTTTGAACTCAGGGCCTTGAAGTTGCTCGTCTTGCTTGTTTGGCTAGTACTCTATAACTTGAGCCATGTCCCCAGGCCTATCTTTTTGGTCGTGATTTGGAACTGGAATACGTGGATTTTTTTTCTATTCCAGTTAGCTTTTAACTGAGATCTTCTGAATCTCAGCCTTCTGAGTAGCTAGGATTACTAATTAGGATTACTAATTAGGATTACTAATGTCAGGCTTAAATTTTAAGAGGTTTTCTAAAATGATTAGTTAAAAGTCTGTCTTTCCTTCTTTCTTTCTTTTTCTTTTTTTCTTTTCTTTTTTTTTTTTTTTTTTTTGCCAGTCTTGGGGCTCAAACTCAGGGCCTGGGCACTGTCCCAGAGCTCCTTTTGCTCAAGGCTAGCATTCTACCACTTGAGCCACAGTGCCACTTCTGGCTTTTTCTGTATATGTGATACTGAGGAATTGAACCCAGGCCTCCATGCAAGCTAGGCAAGCACTCTACCATGAAGCCACATTCCCAGCTTGATTTTTGCTTGGATGATTAAAACAATAGATTGATTATGTGGGCTCTTCCTAAGTTTTATATATTTTATCTCTCTGAATGAGCTCATTGTGAAATAAAAAAAAACAGATGGAAGGTGAAGGAAAAGGACTTTGCCAGCAACCCCAAAGCTTCCTCATTCACACATCCCCACCCTCCTGTGCGTGTAATCACTGTCTGATAGAAAATTTTGTTTTTTTTTGTCTGTCCTGGGACTTGAACTCAGCCTGGGTGCTGTCCTTCAACTCTTCAGCTCAAGGCTATCTTTCTACCACTTGAGCCACAGAGCCACTTCTGGTTTTCTGGAGATATTGGAGATAAAAGTCTTAGAGACTTTCCTGCCTGGGCTGGCTTTGAACCATGATGCTCAGATCTCAGCCTGTGGAGTAGCTGGGATTACAGGCGTGAGACCCTGGTATCCGGCCCTGATAGAACGTTTTATGTTTTTCTTTGTACCTTCATCATTCAAGTAGGTATCCCTAAGCCCTACAGCTTCATTCTGCTTTTAAAAATTCTAAGCCAGGTGCCGGTGGCTCACGCCTATAATCCTAACTACTCAGGAGGCTAAGATATGAGGATCACGGTTCAAAGCCAGCCTAGGCAGGAAAGTCCATGAGACTCGTATCTCCAATAAAACACTAGGAAACTGGAAGTGACGCTGTGGCTCAAGCGGTAGAGCACTGGCCTTGAGCTGAAGAGCTTAGGGATGGCGCCCAAGCCCAGAGTTGAAGCCCCACGACCAACAACAACAAAAAAATTCTATATATGTAGACTTGAACAATGTGTTCCACTTTTGTGTTTGGCTTCTTTTGCTTATTTAACTTGGAGAAAATGGAGCAGGAAAACTAGTGTAGAGATTTAAGAGTTAGCTGTCTCACTTATAACTTTGAGCAAGATAGTTGGACTTTTAGGTTCTCCTTTTTCTACTGTAAGTCATGAGCAAATGGGTGGAAATGATTTGTAAGATTTTTTTAAGCTCTAAAATTGATGGAACTGGAAAAATAAACATTGAACTAAGTTATCCTTTCTTTCCTTTTCATTTTTGTTAGGTTGTCTTGGAGATACCCAGTTTTGTTTTAGATTTCGACAGTCTTCTGGAAGGAGAGTGTCACTGCATTGTCTCCTCGATCAATTTGACAAAGACTTACCAGTTTACTTAAAGGTTGGAAAAGTAGTCATAGAAAAATGTCATGTGAGAGGAAACATTAGAACATATTGCTTTAGAACTCATGTATTCAGTTACCTCTCATATCATTTGGAAGTATTTTGCTTTTTAGTCTGTAACTTCATTGTATAGCTGCATTTCTTCCGGAAGTCTGATAAGGATTGAGCATGTCAGTGAAACAGACCATAAAATGACTTTTGTTGAACTTTATTTCGGAGGGATACATGGATTAAAGCTAAGGCCTCACATATGTGCTCTACCGCTTGAGCCTCATGACTAGCTCTTTGTCTTTTGTTTTTGAGATAGGATCTCATTAACTTTGCCAGGTCTGGTCTTGAACTGTTTGTTGGTCCTCCTGTACCCATGTATTAGATAGCCAGAATTACAGATATGCACCACCATGTTCAGCTCTTAACACATCTTATTTTTTTATTTTTTTTTTGGTGGGGGGGGGTCCAGTCATGGGCCCTGAACTCTGGGCCTGGGCGCTGTCCCTCAGCTCTTCAGCTCAAGGCTAGCACTCTACCACTTGAGCCACAGCACCACTTGCGGCTTTTTTCTTTTTGCTTATGTGGTGCTGAGGAATTGAACCCAGGGCCTCATGCATGCAAGGCAAGCACTCTACCACTGAGCCACCTTCCCAGCCCATTGAAACACATTTTAATGTCATTGTGAATGATAGGAATGGATTAAGAATGCCGAGGTAATTTTCTTTTGCTTGTAATTCTGTGTTTAGGGGTTGGAGGCATGGCTCAGGTGGTAGAGCACCTACCAATGATAAAGCATCAGATAGTCAGTTCAAATCCCAGTTTCAGATGGAAAAAAATAATTCTGTGTTTAGTTAGATGTGAGGGTGGGGGGGCACTATATAGTAAATATCTATAGTTGGAGTAATAATTCCCTGTGATAAGTCCTTTATACATGAATTTAATTTCCATTTACTGTTTATTAAAAAACTTTCAGTAATTCAAATGATTTTATAATCTGTCTCTTTTTGCTATTCTTTGCTTATATCTGTGACTACATGAGGAACATTCCATCTGAATGTCCTGTCTGCACATCCAGTATGACTTTGACATTGTTTGCCTGTAAGCAACTTTTGCAATTGACTTCCCTGGTTCCACCAATGGCAGGAACTTATCTCAATAAAGATATGACCTTGGAAATATTTCTTAGAGCTTTTACCTTACTATATTACAATTAACATGGTCTTCTAGCTGATGATAATACTAGCTGTTATTTAGTAGGGCTTTTTAGGCGTTAGGCCCTGTATCTAATAAGCATACTATTTCATTAATCTTCCCTACTGTCTCTGATGAGAGAGTTTCTATTGCAGGTGAGGGAACTGAGAGATAGGACAAAAAATTTTCCCAGGGACCTCCCACCTTCCCCGCCCCCCAGCATACTTTATGTTATATAGTGTTGCCAGCTTAAGTATACATATGTATTCTAAAAATAAGTATCTAAAATGATTGCTAATTGCTAACTAGGAAGAGCTAATGATAGTACTGTTTGCTTCTCCTCAATTTTTGGCTATTTTGAAATAGACCCTTTTAATGTTCCAATTTTTACCCTTATCTCTTCTATACATGTGCTATAGTTTTTGCTAAATGGAACTATATGCTATTTGTTGAGATAGCTTTGTATTTTTCTTTCTCTGTATTTTCGTTCAAATTCCTGGCTCTCTAGACCTGGATACTTTTATCTTTGTTTAAATAATATCCACCTTTCAATGCCCAATTAAAAATCAGCTGCCAGTGGCTCATGGCTATAATTCTAGCTACTCAGGAGGCTGAGATCTAAGAATCGCTAACCTGGGTAGGAAAGTCTGTGAGACTCATTTCCACCTAACTACCAAAAAAGCTGGAAATGGAGCTATGGCTCAAGTGGTAGAGTGCTAGCCTTGAGCACAAATGCTCAGAGTCAGTGCCCAGGCCCAGAGTTCAAGCCCCAGGACTGGTAACACACACACAAAAATAAAATCAACTGACTTGATTATACAGCAGATGAAACTGTCAGTACTATTGAGAAAATATATCTAATAAATCATTGTCAATCTAAAAAATTTATCAGGCCCATATTTTATAGATACCTCTACATTTATATGGTTAAGTCATTGGTGCTGTGTTTCTTATTGATGATCACATTGGTTTTATATCCCTTCATTTATTGCTTCTTCAGATATTGTAGAAGGTTCATTAAAAAAACATACTTTTTTAACAATTCACCAACAACTAGCAGTGACAGCAACCAGTTCTTCAGATGTCCAGGTGAATAACTATAGCATGCTGAAGAAAGGTGAGGATAAATGGCTGGTAATGGTATATGGTCCAGTGTCCAGCATAAAACATACTCCTTTCTGATCTTTCCCTTTATTCCCCTAACCAGAATATATGCATAAGAAACTTCCTTTAGCTGCAAATTAATCTATTGCCACAATAACAAAGTGTTAGAATATAAACCTGTAATTCACAAACTCTTTAGCCACCTCAGTTGGTTACAGCATGTAAAAGGAAATATTCTTATATATACATATCGGTGTCTCCACTTTTTAATAAAACAAGTGAAATAAAAAGATATCATTTTATCCTAATTGAATTTTTGATATCCTTTTATCATGAAAAGGATACTACTGCATCTTTTTTCTTTTTTCTTTCTTTTCTTTTTTTTGGTGCTGCTAATGGAGCTTGCACGCAGGCCTGAGCATCATCCCTGAATTTTTGTGCTCAAGGTTTGAGCCTCAGTGCTACTTCTGGCTTTTTGGATTGTTAATGGGAGATAAGAGTCTCACATACTTTCCTGCCCTGGCTGGCTTTGAAACAACATTTTCAGATATGACTCTCCTGGGTAGTTAGGAATTTAGGCTGAGCCAGTGGGGCCTGTTTGTTTTCTGTTTTTTGTTGGTGGTGATGGTGGTGGTCATGGAGCTTGAACTCAGGGCCTGGGCGCTGTCCCTGAGCTTTTGTGCTCAAGGAGACACAGCTTGGAGACATAGCTTTACTTGCGGTTTTCTGGTGGTTAATTGGAGATAAAGGTCTCATGGATTTTCCTGCCCAGGCTGGCTTTGAACCACAGTCCTCAGATCTCAGCCTTGTGGGTAGCTAAGATTACAGGTGTGAGCCACCAATGCCCGACATGTTTTCCTTTTTTCTTAAAGATGAATGGTGCATTACTTAATCCAGTAATTGTCAATTGTCAGCCATTCCACCTTTTTGACTTTTCACATTTTATTACAATCATTTTTGCAGTTTTTATTACAATTTGCATTTGCAGTTTTGCAATGTCATTAATGGTTAGAATTTTACCTGATATTGAATATAGATAATGTGTATATTAAAAAGACAGTGTTAATGCTGACTTGGCTCTGAGTTTTAAGCCTTAGGACCGTGCGCGCGCATGCGTGCGCATAAACACACACACACACACACACACACACACACACACACACACAAACATGACAGTGTTTAAAAGGGAATTAGAACTGGAGTAAATTTTCAACACTCCATCAATAATATGGCATTTAATTTTTTGGTAGTAATTGTTCTTCATATGCTTTATCAATTTACTATTATAAAAATAGATATTTTTAACATTCACTGTTGAGTCCTTTGTTCGTAATGCTGTAGTTGGGATTAGGGCTTCAATTTTCACTGCTTAAATATCATCATATATTTGATATGCCCAGACTGCATAAAATTTTAAGCAGGGTATTCTTGTAAAGTTAATGTGAAAGTACTGTTAAAAGAATTTCCCCCTGCAAAAAAATAATCAGCCGATTCCATGAAGTCATTAATCTTCCTATTTGACCTTCCTATGACTCTTTGTGCTGTTTACTTGGGCCCTGCCTACCTATTATGTAATAATCATTTTTGTTCTTTTCTTATCCCTCCTACATTGTAATTGCCTGAAGGAACTGTATCATGCATCCTTTTTTCTTCCCTACTACATTATCTTCTTTAAAGAAGATGATCTATAAATGCTTATTTAAGGAATAACAATCAAAAATTAAAAGACAACTAAGCCAGTTTATTCCATTAGATTGTAAAAACTTCACAGATTGAGAGTGGGCATGATGGCAGAGACTTGTAATACCAATCAATATTCAGGAGGCTGGAGGCAGGGGGATCATAAATTTAAGGCCAGTCTGGGTTACATAGTGAGATCAAGACTCAAATATCAAAAAAAAATTTTATTGGAATTTAGCTCTGTTTATTGCTTCTCTTGGAATTCTATATTAAGATGCCTCATTTTTGTAAAAAGATTGACCTTTTAACTCTGGAAAACAGAATCATAGGCAAAAATTTTTTTTCTTTTTGGTCCAGTTGTGGGGCCTGAACTCTGGGCCTGGGCACTATCCCTCAGCTCTTCAGCTCAAGGCTAGTGCTCTACCACTTGAGCCACAGCGCCACTCCGTTTTTTTTCTTTTTTGCTTATGTGGTGCTGAGGAATCCAACCCAGGGCCTCATGCATGCAAGTCAGGCGCTCTACCACTGAGCCACCTTCCCAGCCCTCATAGGCAAAATTTTAAAGAAACCAAATATAGCATTCTGGAAAGTATAGAATTCGATTATTTCACTAGTATAAATATTAGTAAAGAATAGAAGCCTATTAAATTTTAGGGGTAAGCCTGGGGCTAGTGGCTCATGTCTATAATCTCACTTACTTAGGAGGCTGAGATCTGAGTGTTTTTAAGCCAGCCCTGGCAGTAAGGTCTGGAAGATAATTTTTTTTTTTTTTGGGTCTGGTCATGGGGCCTGAACTCTGGGCCTGGGCTCTGTCCCTCAGCTCTTCAGCTCAAGGCTAGCGCTGTACCACTCTTGAGCCACGATGCCACTTCCGGCTTTTTTCTTTTTTGCTTATGTGGTGCTGAGGAATCGAACCCAGGGCCTCATGTATGCAAGGCAAGCGCTCTACCACTGAGCCACCTTCCCAGCCCTGTAAGATTCTTACATACAACTAACCACCAAAAAAATTGGAAGTGGATCTGTGGCCCAAGTGATAGAGTATTAGCCTTGAGCAAAAAGCTCAGGGACAGTGTCCAGCCTCTGAGTTTAATCTCCAGGACACACACACACACACACACACACACACACACACACACACACACACACACACACACCACACACACACACCACACACACACACACACACACCACCACACACACACACACACACACACACACACAAAATCTAGGGGGACTTATCACACTTTGGTACTTAGATTACTGTCTTTGAGCAAGTTAGCAGGTTTTTATCTGCTAACTTTATAATTATTTTTAAGTAGAAAGTATAACTAGTACGTTTTGTATATCTTACCTCTTGATTTGAATGTATAAAGAAACTTGATGTTAATATTAAAGAATGGATATATATGTATATGTCTGTGTATGTATGTGATCTTTGTCACTTCTTTCATAGAAAGATCCTGCTTATTTTTATGGCTATGTGTATTTTCGGCAAGTTCGAGATAAAACTCTCAAAAGAGGCTACTTTCAGAAGGTAATTATAATAAAGTATTTACATTGTGATTAATAAAATAGAAACTGTTAGATCCTTAAATTTCCGGGTTTTTTGTTGTATTTTATCTGTGCTTTTTATATTACAACACATTTCCTTGGACTATTTTTTTATATTTTTTATTGTAAAGATGCTGTACAGAGGGGTTACAGTTACATGAGTAAGGTAATGAGTACATTTCCTATGGAGCATTGTTACCCCCTCCTTTGTTTTTCCCCTACCATCCCTTCCCTCCCCCCTCCCTAGTTCCTCCCTCCCCCCCCAAGTTGTAAAGTTCATTTTCAACATATGTCTTGTACTTCTCATTGTTACAGTAGGTCAACCTGTATCCTTATTTCAGCATTTTGTTATATCCCTTCCCTTCTCCAAATTAGAAAAATATATATACAAGATGCAGGGCACTGGAATAAAATACAGTGAAAACAGAGGTTATACCATGGGGGAAGAACTACAAAAGAAACAAAAAAAATCACATAGTACGTTATATACACATTAAAAACAGCAGCAAGAAAGATAAAACCTCTTGTGTCTCTATCTTGGGGTTTATTTTGCTTAGCATCATCTTACATGGTCATATGTACATAGCTTTTGATGTTTTCTGCTTGTCCTAGACATACACTAGTTATTGCAAATAAGGGAAATCATGGGACTTATATTTCTTTGGGCCTGGCTTACTTCACTTAATATAATTTTTTTTCCAAGTGTTTTCCCTGGAGTATTTTAACTAATGATTTTTTGCTACCTCTGTGCTAAACTCCTGGCAATGAGTTGTGCTTAGTTTATGTAAAAGTGCTTAGTTTTAACATTTTGGAATAAGGGAAAGAATAAACAAGTTGTAATATTGTGTTACAAATAAAGGCCGGTAGTATCTTTTGAGTATTCAGTCAAACTTAGCAACTTCTTTCTCTTTCTTCTCCTTTCTCCCTCTCCTCTCCTTCTCTCCCTCTCTCCCTCCCCCTTTATTTTACCTCTCCCTCTGTTTTACTTCTTCCTTACTTTCCGCTGCCCAGTTCTGAGGTTTGAACTTAAAGGTCTCAGGCTGCAAAGCAGACCTCTACCACTTAAGCCATGTCCCCTACTGTCTTAAAAAAAAAAAAAAAGGAAAACAATGAATCAGCTCTGTTAAATCCCAGCTATCAAGACATATTTTTCCCATTTGTAACCAGATTTTCTCTGATTACTAATTGATGGTGGATGCAAAAGTAACGAGTGGTTTTTCAGGAAAATGATGTTTAAAATCAACATCACAATCTCTATCTGAAGCAATCAAAGTATATGGTCACAATTTCTAAGTATATGGCTATGAGGGTTAGAGGCATGGCTCATGTTGTAGAGCAAAGACAAGATGAATGAGTGCAAGATTCTTGAGTTCAAGCTTTGGGAGTGGACACAAAACAAAACAACACCCCCCTCCCCCATGACAGTTCTAAGTATTTGGTTAGGACAGTTGGAAGTGTATAATATAAACAGTTATAGAATTTTGGGAAAGGAATCACAACGTTTTCTTTCCTTAATACAAACATATTATATGGTTAATTGCTAATATTGCTGGAATACAGAGAGCAATAACTAGGTTATAGAAATTATCCATGATGTTGATCTATTTATAGAAATTTCTTTTTCCTGAAGCGTAACATCTGTGCTTGCAGATGCTGTTAGTTTTTTGTTGTTGTTGTTTTGTTTTTGTTTTGGTCGTGGGACTTGAACTCTGGGCCTGGGTGCTGTCCCTCAGCTCTTCAGCTCAAGGCTAGCACTCTACCACTTGAGCCACAGTGCCACTTCTGGCCTTTTCTGTTTATGTGGTACTGATGAATTGATCCCAGGGCTTCATGCATATGAGGTACTCTATCTCTGAACCACCTTCCCAGCCCCTCGTTTTTAAAGTGTGATAATAAGGTTAAACTTTTTCCTTTTTTTGGTGCTGATGCTAAGATTTAAACTTGTGTCATTTGAGATTGCTTTGGCTTCCTTACTTGCAAGTGTGGTGCTCTACTACTTGAAACCACTAGGATAGCTTTTTTGCTGATTATTTTGGAGAGTCTTGTGGACTTTTCTGCCTGGGGTAGCTTTGAACCATGATTCTCCATGTCTACAGGTGTGAGCCACTGGTGCCCAGCTTGCTTACTTTGTTTTTGTTTTTTTCCTTTTTTGGCAATATCGGAATTTGAGTTGAACTCATGCTTGTCAGTCAGGTCCCTTACCACTGGAGCCTTACCTCCTTTCTTAACTTTTTTGCATTCTGTAGCTATGATTTTGTGTTTCTTTTGAACCATTTGTCTTTAAAGTCATTTGATCTCAATTTTATATTTATTGCTGATTTTAGCTTGTTAATGAAAGACAAAAGTAGTTAACATAATTACAATCATTAGGCAATTAAATTAATTAAAATTAAGCAATATTTCTTTTCTTTCCCTAGTCACTGGTTTTGATCAGCAAACTACCTTACATTCATTTTTTTCACACCGTGCTCAAACAAATAGCACCAGAGTATTTTGAGAAAAATGAGCCTTATTTGGAAGCAGGTAAGTTAAGCATTGTATAATGCATGTGTTCTCAATGGAGTTTTAAAATTTACTGGAAATGTATGGCAAAATTAAGTCAACTCTTTCAAATATCAGAAAAGAATTTAAGGGAGCCATGGTAGACATACAAAACTATTTGGCATCTTTACCTAAAAATATCAAATGCAGTTATCTGTTTTTATCTTCTCCAATAACATAGAAAATTTCTGTATATTAGAACAATAATAAAGTTTAAGCTTTAATCTGACATTTTAGAATATCACTGAGCAGAAATCCTTAGATTTGATGGAGGTCTATGCCAGGTAATGTGCGTCAATTCTAGTAGTAATAAATGAATAAGAAAATTTCTTATAGAACTATTAGTTTATTGCTTTCAAGAAATTTATTAAATAAATAGCTCAAGTGGTAGAGCACTAGCCTTGAGCTGAAGAGCTGAGGGACAACATTCAGGCCCAGAGTTCAAGCCCAAGGACTGACAAAAAGAAAAAAAAAAAAAAAGAGTTTGGGGCTGGGAAGGTGGCTCAGTGGTAGAGCGCTTGCCTTGCATGCATGAGACCCTGGGTTCGATTCCTCAGCACCACATAAGCGACTGGACCCAAAAAAAAAAAAAAGAAATTTATTAACAATTTACATCTACAATATACATATTTCAGAGAGAAATGTAAGATGTTTTATAATTTAAAATTTTAAATTGTTTAAAATACTTAAAAAATTACTTTTCTCTTACTTTCTGTTCTTCCAAGCACATTTCTCTTGCCTTGTAGAAAACAGAGTTCTGATTTCTTTCTTTTTTTGGGGAGGGGGGGTCCAGTCATAGGGCTCAAGGCTAGCGCTCTACCACTTGAGCCACAGCGCCACTTATGGCTTTTTTCTTTTTGCTTATGTGGTGCTGAGGAATGGAACCCAGGGCCTCAGGCATGCAAGGGAAGCGCTCTACCACTGAGCCACCTTCCCAGCCTCCAGAGTTCTGATTTCTAATACTCTAATACTTTAATATTTTTATTGATAGTAAGAAAAAAAAATTTTGTTACATTTCCAGCTTGTAATGATGTTGATCGATGGCCTGCTCCAGTGCCAGGGAAAACATTGCATCTACCTATTATGGGTGTAGTAATGAAGGTAATAACTTTTTTCTCATTTGTCTTCTTTTTAAAGAAAACTGTAGGAAGTTCACACATGGGTATGCTTTTAACTTTGTAATAATATTTAGTAGTATTACTGCTTTCTCCTTTTTGTAATGGATATGAAATGTTATAGAAATACCACCATTTGGGCTGGGAAGGTGGCTCAGTGGTAGAGTGCTTGCCTTGCATGCATGAGGCCCTGGGTTCGATTCCTCAGCACCACATAAGCAAACAGAAAAAAGCTGAAAGTGGAGCTGTGATTCAGGAGGCAAAGTGAGAGGAGAAGAAAAAAAGCCCAGGTACCGTACACAGGCCCCTGAGTCAAGCCCCAGGAGCACGAAAACAAATGAACAAACATGTGCTTTCTGTAGTAGTGTTTTTGTTTTTAAGAAATCAGGGCTGGGGGGTGAAGGCCAAGGCCTCTGGGCGGGAATGAAACACACTCCCCATGGAGCAGGGGACCCGCGCGGAGCCATGGACAGTACAGTGGTAGCAGTTGGGCTGACCATTGCTGCTGCAGGATTTGCAGGCCGTTAGGTTTTACAAGCCATGAAGCATATGGAGCCTCAAGTAAAACAAGTTTTTCAAAGCCTACCAAAATCTGCCTTCAGCAGTGGCTATTACAGAGGTGGATTTGAACCCAAAATGACAAAACGGGAAGCAGCGTTAATACTAGGTGTAAGCCCTACTGCCAATAAAGGAAAGATAAGAGATACTCATGGACGAATTATCTCTTAACTCACCCAGACAAAGGAGGATCGCTTTACATAGCAGCCAAAAATCAATGAAGCTAAATATTTACTAGAAGGTCAAGCTAAAAAATGAAGTAAATATATGATGAATTTTAAGTTCATATAAATTTATGAGTACCAACTTTTTATAATAAAATGCCTCAAATAAAGTTTTTAAAAAATGAAAAAAAAATCAGGGCTGGGAAGGTGGCTCAGTGGTAGAGTGCTTGCCTTGAATGCATGAGGCCCTGGGTTTGATTCTTCAGCACCACATAAACAGAAAAACCTGAAGTGGTGCTGTGGCTCAAGTGGTAGAGTGCTAGTCTTGAGCTGAAGAGCTGAAGGACAGCGCCCAGGCCCAGAGTTCAGGCCCAAGACTGATTAAAAAAAAAAAAAGAAAGAAAAAAAGAACTCAGTGTTTTACTCATAAGCTTTATATGAGTATACTTTCGTGTTTCACAATTCACTTATCAAACTGGGTTTATTTTTGACAATATTATTTAATTAATCAATTAATGAATTTAAACTTATTTACTAGAGATTGAACCAGGGCCTCATGCATGTTGGGCAAGTGTGCTATTACTTGAACCACATCTTTAGCTTTTTTCAAAAATTCATTTTGTTTTGAGACAGTCTTGTTAACTTTACCTGGGCTGACTTGAAACTCAAAGTCCTCTTGCTTCTACCTCCCAAGTAGCTGGGATTATACTCATGAGCCACAAAAGCATTCTCTGTTTGGATATACTCATTTTTTATATATATTCTTTCTTCCTTAGGAAGTTATTTAAAATAATAATGAGATCTCTAGGATGAGAGTTCTCATTGTTTCTAGTTGGATTCATCTACAAGTTTGGCAGGCTTGAGAGGGTGTGTTTGGGTGTGTGTATATTAATGAAGCAAAGACTGGAACAATAAACAGGAAACAGTATGAGGCTGATGTCCTTTTTCTGTTTTTCAGCATATTGCTTCTCAGTAGGTTAGTGATTTCTGTGTTTATGGACATGAAGACCTTGGCTCGGTTATTTTCTGCTGTGACTAAAAATAAGTATAATCTTGGCTTTATAATCTAACATAAATATTTTGTTTTTATAGCTTTTTAGGCATTGCTGAATATATCCTTTTGGCAGGAGGATAGAGTACTTTTGAGTACTTCCTTTATAGCCAAAGATAATTTCTTCTCTTTCTGTTTTAAGGTACGGATTCCCACATGCCATGACAAGCCCGGAACAACTCAAATAGTACAGTTAACTCAGCAGGTAGTGTGGTATTATTATATAAATATCACGGAAGTTTTATACTGCAAATGCAGCATCTTGGGTTTATTATATAATTCTGAATATTATTGAACTATCCCATTAAATTTTTAGTAGATTGATAACAAAGTTTCTAGTATTAATTTTTCCTTATTATTGCAGAAATACTGTAGAACTCCGAATTTATTATGTAATTGTGAGGACAAGTAGACAGTAAATATGGTTTGGTTTAATTTTGTCAAAACCTTTTATAGGAGTGGCCTAGTAGAGGTCTGATTTTAGGAGACTCAGGTTTCTGTAATTATAGTTTTGTTGTTTTTTTCTGAAGGCAATAGTAACTGTTCATCAGTAGGGTTGAATTTTTTACTTGAAATGGTTTATCTGCTATATTAACACTTTGTTCTCTAAATTCAGTAACAATGGAGAACAGTAGGACAACTGATATTTCCTATTCCATATATTTACTAATATTAGTGGAAGTATGTCATGCAGTTGTGAACTAACCTCATATTTGATAATATTTAATGTTTGTGTTTATTTTCTCTCCTCTTCTGCATTGGGGGAGATTAGAAAGACCCATTTTCTATTTCTGGCTGCTTCTGGAAAAATCTTAAAAAAGTAGACAGGGCAGCATGGTTTAAAAATTATGTGATAGGCATATTTTAAAAGTCAGTTTCTAAAAATTTTGATAATTTCAATTATTTTTCTTTTTTCTTTTTCAGTCAGATACAAACATATCTGTTATTTTACCTACTGTTCATGAGGTAGATCTTTTCAGGTAAAAACAAAAAATTTGTCAACTGTTTTATTACGTTGTGATATTAATTTTTGTTCTAGGATATGGAAAAACTTGGAAGAAAATATTGTGTGTGTGTGTGTGTTTGTGTGTGTGTGTGTGAGTACTTGAGATTGAACTCAGGAGCTTTGTTCTAATTGTCTGTGTTTTTGTGGTAGTTACCCCCAACACTAACATCTTTGATTAGTATGGGTCTCTTTTCCCGAATATAAGTTGCATGTTATTGTTTTCAAAGTAGGTCAGCTATGTTGCTTTAATTCTTTTTTTTTTTTTTTTTTTTTTGGGTCCGGTTGTGGGGCCTGAACTCTGGGCCTGGGCGCTGTCCCTCAGCTCTTCAGCTCAAGGCTAGTGCTCTACCACTTGAGCCACAGCGCCACTTCCGGCTTTTTTTCTTTTTGCTTATGTGGTGCTGGGGAATCGAACCCAAGGTCTCATGCATGCAAGGCAAGTGCTCTACCACTGAGCCACCTTCCCAGCCCCTGTTGCTTTAATTCTTGTTTCTCAATAGATGAGAAAACTAAACCTTGAGAAATAATGAAAAAACTAAACCTTGAGAACTAATCTCACATAGTGATAGTAGTACTGTGTCTAACATTGACTATCTGATGATTGTGCTAATGCTTTACCTCTGACAGTACTTGATTTTGTATGGGTAGACCTTTCATTTTATGTTTATTGTTATGAATGAAAGTTTGAATGTGTATCAATTATTGATATTTTTACATGGAGACTCAACTGAAAACATGAAACAAAGACCTAAAAGATGTCTGATAAAGTTAGGATAATGATAAAGTTAGAAAAGGGTCCCTCATTCCCCTTTTCACCAGGCCAAGGATTAAAAAAAAAAAAAAAAAAAAAAATATATATATATATATATATATATATATATATATATATATATATATTTGAGTAATTGTTCTCAATACCACCCTTTCCATCATCCTCTCCTATTTTTCCACCTCTTATTCCTACCCCCAAGTTACATAGTTCAGGTTTACATAATGTACATTGAATACAATGACTATATTTGCTCACCTGTACTCCTTCATTAATGTGCTCTCTCCTCTTTCCCTTCCCCCCACAAAAATGTTGCCACTTCCTACAATTCATTTTGTTAAACAGTTTATTAGTTGTTCAGAAGACTTAAATCCTTGGACTCTTCCCCTTATGCATACTAGCCTTTGGTCAGTGAATGCCTATATGCATAGAACCCTTTGTATGTTAGTATATATGTTTGTGTTTTACATCTAGCTTCTGCACATGAGAGAAAGCATGCTAGGTCAAGGATTTTTATGAAATGAATCCATAGGCTGTGCCTTTGATTCAGCTCTCTCTTGATCACAAAAAAAAGTTTTTCATTCTGTTTTTAAGTTGAGGAGAGGAGTTTTCTGAAACAGTAAACAACTTAAAATTATATGCTTTTATTGAAGTTCGTCAATTATTCTGTCTGCTGATATATTGCAGTGTTATAAAAATTAGAGTCAAATTGTTATATTTTTATGTATGTTAAAGGAGCTTAGATCTTTATGTATTTCCATGTTCTAAATTAATTTGTTCAGATCAAGAATCAATAGCAGGAAGCATTTATATCAAGACGTTTTACTATGATTATGTATGAATTTAAAAGGCAAGATTGGATAAATAACCAAGTATTCCTACTATGGAAATGCCTTCTAGGTGTTTCTGCCCAGTTTTCTTTCATAGTCAGATGTTGTGGGAGCTGGTTCTATTGGGGGAGCCCCTCGTGGTCATGGCGCCATCCCCATCAGAGTCCTCAGAGACTGTACTGGCTCTTGTTAAGTAAGTATATTTGACTCCCTGTGGTGATTTTTGCAGCACTTTCTCATCTGTGGTACATTTCCCCATACATTATTGCATTGATTCCCACAACCATGTCACAAGGTAGCACATAATGTATATGTTTTAAGGATGATAAAATTGGTTCTGGATCTATGAGGTGGAACCATGTTTTTGTTGTTCTGAGTGATAAGCACATTTCATTTGTCTACATGAAATTGGTCCTTGATATATGTATGGTCAGTGTTTGATAATGGGTACATAGCTAGTAAATAGTGGAGTCAGAATTTCATTCTTTTGTCCCAAGACCAGTGTTTATCTTTTGTTTTTCCCCAGTACTTAAGACCTTGAATATCTAGGCAAGTATCCTGACACTGAACTATATAGCCTGTCTCTTTTTATTTTGAGCCAGAGTCTCACTAAGTTGCCAAGGCTGACCTCCAACTGGCTATGTAGGCCAGGCAGGACTTGAATTTGTGATCTCCTGCCTCAGCCTACCAGGTAGATGGTATTACCACCGTGCCCAGCTAATCATACCAGTATTTTTCAGTATGCTCCATATTACATAATTTCATTTGTATTTTTTGTTTTATTTTGTGATACTAGGACTCAAGGCCTTTTGCTTGCTAAGTAGGTGCTCTGCCAACTGGAACCATGCCAGTGATCCTTTTTGTTTTATTTTTTGAGTAGGGTCTCACATTTATGCCCCAGTCAGCTTAGTGTGTGATCCTATTTATGCTTTCATGTATCTGGGATGACAGGTGAGTACCATCACAGCTATATTGGTTGAGACAGGGATCTTGTGAACTTTTTGCCTAGGATGGCCTTAGCTTGAGGAAGTGTGATTATAGGTATGAGCCAGTGTACATTACTCCATTTGTACTTTTAGTCTTCTAAGATGAGTTTATCATTTATTGAAATAAAACTTCTCACTGGGAAAATATTGCTTATGTGTCAGAGTTGTGAAGTAGAGCCTTTAATTTTGGTGTCTTTTGTTTTGCATGTTCTTCCTGATCCACAGCTGTATTTCTCCATTAAAATACTTCAGTGATTTCCGGCCTTATTTTACGATTCATGATAGTGAATTCAAAGAGTACACTACCCGTACACAAGCTCCGTGAGTAAACTGAATAACTTTCATTGGCAAAGTGTTATCTTTAGGCCCAAAATTATACAGAATTATTCTGGTAGTAAAAATTAAATTTTAAACTGATTTGTTGAATTGAAATCGTTTGTACAACCACTTAAAGATAATACAACTTTTTAAATTAAAAAGTTTACTTTATTGATAAATTGAGTTTATAAAGGAACATTTGAGGAGCTGCTGGTAATACTTAAAGGCTTCAATACTTAGTAACTTACTTTATGTGACCGATTATAGTTGATGGAATCAGTATTCTAATGAATAGCCATTAAACCTGATTCTACTGTCATGAATAATCTAATCTGTAGAAGGAAAAAACACTCTTACCCTTTTCCTTTCAATACCTGTTAGGTTAATTATATATCTTCCTTTTTTGTGTGGTTTTTTTTTTTTTTTGGGGGGGGGGGGTCCAGTCATGGGGCCTGAACTCTGGGCCTGGGTGCTGTCCCTCAGCTCTTCAGCTCAAGGCTAGCACTCTACCGCTTGAGCCACAGCGCCACTTCCGACTTCTTTTCTTTTTGCTTATGTGGTGCTGAAGAATCGAACCTAGGGCCTCAGGCATGCAAGGCAAGCGCTCTACCACTGAGCCACCTTCCCAGCCCCTATATATAAAATATATATATATCTTCTTTTTATAGCTAACTTTTAGAATAACAGCTGCAACAGAAATCTCCGTTTACTTTTTCTATTTCCTATTTTCTGGTAGTGTTACAGTTAGCTGCAGAATGACTTCTTAATATCTACTGAATTTGTTTTCAAATATCATACTGAACTTTGCTTCCAAAGCCATCAATATACTACTCTTGCCAGGCATGGTAACACATACTTACAATAGTAGCACTAAAAGGATCCTTAGTTCATAGCCAACCTGTATTATATAGTTAAACAAACAAACAAACCTAGAAAAAGCAAAAAACAAATGTACAACACAAAAAAATCCCTCATTGGTCTGGGAAGGTGGCTCAGTGGTAGAGCGCTTGCCTTGCATGCTTGAGTCCCTGGGTTCAATTCCTCAGCACCACATAAGCAGAAAAAAAAAAGCCGGAAGTGGCGCTGTGGCTCAAGTGGAAGAGTGCTAGCCTTGAGCTGAAGAGCTGAGGGACAGCGCCCAGGCCCAGAGTGCAGGCCCCACGACCGGACCCCCCCCCCCCCCCCAAAAAAAAAAAACCCTCATTAGTGCCTCACTCCATAAGTACTTTACTAACATATTTCCTACTTCCTCTTTTTTTGTAACATTTATGGATTTTTGGGGGGGGGGGGTAGGCTTTTTTTTTGTTCCAGTACTGGGACTTAACCTCGGTGCTATCTCAGCTTTCTTTTGCTAAAGGATAGCACTCTACAACTTGAGCTACAGTTCTACTTCCAGCCTTTTGATGGTTAATCGGAGACAAGAATCTCATAGGCTTCTCTGCCCAGGCTGGCTTTGAACCTTGATCTTTAGATCTTAGCCTCCTGATTAACCAATACCCTGTTTGTTGCTGTTATTGTTTTTAAACTGAGATAGAGTAGTTGTAGGCTGGCTTCAAACTTGTCATCTTTTGGCCTTCGACTCCCAAGTGCTAGGAATAGAGGTGTGTACTACTTTACCTGGCTACATTTACTGTTTGACCTTGAAAATGTCTTAATCCTTGATCCTGCTCCCTCCTGCCTGGCTGGTCGCACATTTTAATCTCCTTGGCAGATTTATCTTTCTTAACCTTGTAAAATTTGATGTTCTCCAATATTGTGTTCTGATTCTGATTTCAGACAGATAATTTTTTTTCTATACAGTCTTCTGAGTACCTAGGGCTTCTGTTAAGACCCTACTAATGACTAAAAGATTTATTTTCTTGCTTCAGATCTCTGCAAGATCCAGACCTATAATCCAGTTTTTGTTTAAACATATTGTATCTATGCTTTTTAGTGGCATAGGAAACTAACTGTGTTCAAATTAAATTTTTTTTTCTGGTCATGGGGCTGCAACTCTGGGCCTGGACACTGTCCCTGAACTCTTCAGCTCAAAGTGAGTGCTGTACCACTTGAGCCACAGCGCCACTTCTGGTTTTTTGGTAGTTAATTGGAGATGAGTCTCACGGATTTTCCTGCTGGCTTTGAACCATCATCCTCAGATCTCAGCCTCCTGAGTAGCTAGGATTATAGGTGTGAGCCACTGGCACCCGGCCTTAATTAAATTCTTTTTTCTCCCAAATCTCCCTCCCCCCCTTCCTCCTTTCCTTTCTTCCTACCTTCCTTTCCACCTTATACTAGTTTTTGTGGGTTTTTTTTTTTTTTTTTGGTCGTGGGGATTGAACGCTGAGCCTGGGCACTGTCCCTCAGCTCTTCAGTTCAAGGCAAATGCTGTACCACTTGAGCCACAGCGCCACTTCTGGCTTTTTCTGCTTATGTGGTGCTGAGGAATGGAACCCATGGCCTCAAGCATGGGAGGCAAGCACTGTACCATTGAGCTGCTTTCCCACCCCCTACTAGTTTTTATTCAGTATTAAAAACTTGTCATGAATCTCTCCTTCTTGATATGGTTCACATCTAATTTTAACCAAATTCTGCCAAGGAAATAGCCTGAAGTGTGTCTCAGAGTGTTTATCACGGTCTTTCCATAGCCCCTGCCTCATTTTCCCGTCTCGAGCCTTTCTCACCTCCACTGTTGCATTCTTCCCAACACCTTTCCTTTTTGTAGTATAGGACATCTTTTAGTTTTCTCCATAATGATCCTTCTCATTCATACAGCTTACCTCCACTTAGTTTTCTCTCCTTTCCTATAACATCTAAATTTCTTAGCATATGAGTTTGGTATTGCTATCTACTCTCATTTCTGACTATCATCCTTGCCACGTTGTGCTCCAGTAATGTGGAAGTATGTGGACTTCTATGTGTACGGTATGATCTCACTTCAATGGGAAGCACATACTGTTGGTTCTCCTACATCATCCTTCCACCCTTATCTGCTTTGTAGATATTTTTCATATCTGTGTGAGTGTCATCTCCTTGGTGAGGCTGTCCTTTAATTCCCTCACAGACTGCGGGTTCTCATCTATGATTATTGTGGCATTTTATTCTACCTTCATTGTCTTTAATTTTAGGCATTATGATTAGGCATTTATAGCCTTCTATCTTTGTGCGATTTTAGGACCATAAATTTTCATTTTTATATGCATAGTATTAAATACGTTATCTGGAACATAGTTAATGTGAGGAAAGGAAAGATAATGCATACATTGTTCACTCAAAAGTTGTGAATTATTCTTCAGTGGTCTAAAATTCATGTTTTCCTCACCTCTTCTTTGTTTTGTTTTGTGTTTTATACAGGCCCTCAGTCATATTAGGAGTAACCAACCCATTTTTTGCTAAAACACTCCAGCACTGGCCACACATTATTCGAATAGGAGATCTTAAACCTGCAGGTAAAGTATAAGCATGGTGTCCTCTTTGAAATATGTAGTGTGACCATACAGATGTGCTTCTTCGCCTTTGGTTTTTTATGTTACTAGCAACTTTGGTTTTTTTATGTTACTAGCAACTTTAAGGCAACCAAAGTAAAGGCCTTTGGAGAAGAATATAACTTCCTGCTAAAATATGTTTATAAATCTTATGTCCTCCTAGCAAAACACAAACCTATTCTGATATAAACATTGAATTATAGTAAAGCCTCAAATATTTGAATTTTGTGTTTTATAATCTCAGTCAGATTGAGATTTCCAATACTACATGAAGAAAATCTTATAGAAAAATAGAATTTTGCCGAGTGCTAGTGGCTCATGCCTGTAATCCTAGCTACTCAGTAAACTGAGATCTGAGGATTTGAAGCTAGCTCAGGCAGAAAAGTCCCTGCTGTGAAACTCTTACCTCCAATTAACCACTCAAAAGCCAGAAGTGGGCTATGGCTCAAGTGGTAGAGCACTAGCCTTGAGCACAAAGAGACTCAGGGACACCTAGGCCATGAGTTCATAGCTACAACTGACAAAAAAAGAAGAACACTAGAATTATTCTAGACTTGGCACAAAATTTTTAGCAAGGTATCAAAACAAGTACTCTACATCCCTCTGTCATTGGTGTTGATTAAGGGAGTTCGCAGGAGGTGGTGCTTTTCCTGATGAGAAGACGCAACAGGCACTACCTCTGATGTGTGGTGCTCTCACTGTCTTCATAGTATCATGTGATATGCAAGATTTTTAATTTTGATGAAGTTCAGTTTATCGAATTTTTCTTTTATTGTTTGTAGGTTTGTGTTAGTCATGAAATACCATTTATTGTTTGATTACGAATGTTTGGTGCATAACTTAAGACAATTTTTGGCTCCTTGAATCCCGCTGTATACACTACACAAGTTATGCAACACAAACCCCTGCTTATGATTCTGGCTTTGAAAATTCAAAACACTTAGAGAATATTTGTAAAGCTTTAGAGAGAGCATCCTCTGTAGGACAAGGAGGGAAGGTATAGCAAAACTAATTATGTTCTCTTAGGTCCAGAAAATTTGTAGCTAGAGTAGGAATATACATTGGGTTACAGTCCTGTCAGGAGATGCTGACGGCATTGCAGGCATGATTTAGTGCCTGCCTAGTAACTGTGAGGCCCTGATTTCAAACTCCAGTATGACCAAAAAACCAAAATAAACAACAGTGACAATGAAAAGACCTATTATTCCCTTTGGAATCTTTAATTCTCAAGTTCTTATTTCCTGTGTGGGGAGCAAGAAACATTTCTTTTTCTTTTCTATTTCTTCCTACTTTCCCTATTATTTTAACATAAATTCTGGCTAAACTTAAAAAAAAAAAAAAAAAAAAAGATGGGGCTGGGAAGGTGGCTCAGTGAGAGTGCTTGCCTTGCATGCATGAGGCCTTGGGTTCGATTCCTCAGCACCACATACACAGAAAAAAAAGCTGGAAGTGGCTCTGTGGCTCAAGTGGTAGAGTGCTAGTGTTGAGCTGAAGAACTGAGGGACAGCGCCCAGACCCAGAGTTCAGACCCCTGAATGGCAAAAAAACAAAAACAAAAAAGAAAGCTCTACAAAAGAATTAGTAGTGTCAAGAGATTGCTTTTCCTGGATTGTCCCTGTTTGGTTCATATCCCTCATGTTAAATGGAGATATCATTTTAGGATAATGGTATTTGAACAACTATTCCTCAGTGAGAAAATTAATTCTACTGGTTTAAATTGATGTAATTACTCTGACCAGAAGTGGGGTTTGACGATCTCACAGTAGAGAAATTAACATACTTGGCCTACATTGAATGTCTCTGTGTGACTCTACAAGGTGCAGTAAGGATTATTAAGCCTTTTCTCAGATGTGCATGCACACAATAGACATTTCACGGATTTGAAATTAAAACAAATACTTGTAACTTTGGTTTGTTTCTGGCTTTTGTGTTTTTTTTTCCCCCAGAGCCATCTGATACTCATTTTACTTTTTGTAATAGAGAACTTTGTTTATGTTTAGTTTTTCTTTATATCTATACTCTGAGAATTATGTCTGGTAGGGTTAGAATGAATGAAGGATGAATTAATGTGAGTGAAGATTGCTACACTGGTTGTTTTCAGGTTGTTTCTGTTTCTGAAAAACACAAATGTGACTAAAGGTATGGCTCAAAGTGTGTGGAGTCTTTGCTTAGCAAACACAAGACTAAGTTCAAACCCCAATGCCATCCAACATGAACATGATTATTACATGAACATGATGCTAAATTATTCTCTGTCTGGTGTTCAGTTTCTTCTTTACACAGTGAGTTTCAGGAAATAATGTGTTGTGATAAACAGCACTAGTGCATAGAGGAATTTGTGGTCTTTTAGGACTTGGGGAAACAAAAGTATAAGTTCTTTTTTTGGGGGAGGGGTCCGGTCGTGGGGCCTGAACTCTGGGCCTGGGAGCTGTCCCTCAGCTCTTCAGCTCAAGGCTAATGCTCTACCACTTGAGCCACAGTGCCACTTCCAGCTTTTTTCTTATGTGGTGCTGAGGAATCGAACCCAGGGCCTCGAGCACGCAAGGCAAGCACTCTACCACTGAGCCACTTTCCCAGCCCCCAAAGTATAAGTTCTTAAACTTACTCCAAGATTACGGTTTTCACACTTGAGATTCTTTAGATTCTTGGAATCTAAGGCAGACAATTAACTTTAATTGTCTATTAAATATGTATTAATTTTGTGTTTATTAAAAAAAAGTTGTGATAACAAGTTTCCTCAAACTTTTGTGGCAAGGAAACCACAAAATTTAACATGAGATATTCTCATAAGAATTCTTACATGAGAATAGATATATTAAATTGACAAAGAAAAAGCTGGGGTAGTGAATAAAAACCATTTCAAAAACCTGAATTTGCCTGGCTTCTTCTTTCTCTCAATCTGCCTCACAAGCAGTTTTACCCTAGTAACTCCCCTTTGTCTCTTGCCTTGCTTTGCCTTGCCTTGCTACAAGTTGTTTAGCCAAGTGCATTGCTTTACTAGTCTTTTCTCTCTTGTGCTTCTTTCAGACTGCTCTGCACAATACTACAAAGTGTTGTACACAAGAGTCCTGACCATGTGGTTGTGGCACACTATAGCGCCACTTGGTGGCTTTATGTTAAAATGCAGAGTTCAGCATGTTTTATGTTCCTCACTATTTCAATGTCTTATCCTTATATGTCAAATGGCATTATAGTTCCTCTTAATCAGGCAGCATTTGGCTGGCTTCATCTCCTCTCCTTCTAGCTTCTCATTCCTGCTCAGAGGGTATGGTGGTTAAGCGTGATAGCTCTGAAGTTGGATCTCCCATTTAATGTCCTGGCATAAGTATGTTATCTGTGTGCCATTGGACAAGTTACTTTTCTGGTTATGACACAGCTAACAACCTGTTTGAATGGAGCACTCGTCAGTCAGGGTAGATGAAAGTAGTGAACAGATGGTACTGTTTTGTTTCTGCCTCAATTTCTTAATCTGTGACATAGCAATTGTCAGCTTAGTTTTAGTGTGAAGATTAAATCTAGCAGTGCACTGGTGGCTCACACCTGCAATCCTATCTATTCAGGAGGCTGAGATCTGAGGATTGAGGTTCAAAGCCAGCCTGGGCAAGAAAGTCCATGAGACAAGTGGTACTGTGGCTTAAGTGGTAGAGTACTCGCCTTGAGCTGAAGAGTGCAGGGATAACGCCCAAGCCCAGAGTTCAAGCCCCACAACTGACCAAAAAAAAAAAGAAGAAGAAGAAGTTTTAGTGGCGCTGTGGCTCAAGTGGTAGAGTGCTTACCTTGAGCTGAAGAGCTGAGGGACAGCGCCCAGGCCCAGAGTTCAGGCCCCACAACTGACAAAAAAGAAAGAAAGAAAAGAAAAGGAAGTCCATGAGACTCATCTCCAGTTAATCACCAGAAAATGGGAAGTGTCTCTATGGTTCAAAGTGGTAAAGTGCTATCCTTGAGCAAAAGAGCACTCAGACCAAGCCCCACGGCAGAAAAACAAAAACAAAAAGCAGAACAACCACCAAGAAAACCTGCTTTAATGTGACCTTCCAGATTCCTCACTTTTATTTGCCAGGACACTCTTCTTTTGTACAGTCTTTTTTTTCTATCCTACCAAATATTCTTTTGTATTGTTATTTATCTTTCCTTGTCATATTTTACCATTATTCTCTAAGCCATTTTGTACCAGGGCTTTGCTATTTATTCCTATATGATAAGTACCTTGCACTTCCTAATATTTTTGAACCAATAAAAAGGCTGCAAAGACTTACCAAATGCATGATTTTGTTTGTAGTAAACATTTTTGAAATTGTCAGGGAAGAGTCAATTATACTGTTTTGCATTTGTACTATTTTGCATCTTTTCTATAAGCTTGAAATTTTTTCAAAGTAAAGTTTATAAAATTTGTTTTGTCATAATATATGCTGTTAAAAGTTTTTAACAATGTAAGATTATCAGTTAAATGTTCCACATTCCTGTGGTCGCAAACTTTAGAATGTATTTCAGTTACTAGCTTTACTCTTCTGCAGAGAGGGGATGTGGAGAGAGAAAAAAAAATCAGTGATAGTAGGTGTGTTTATAGCACTTTTTGGGGGGGAGGTCGGTTGTGGGGCTTGAACTTAAGGCCTGGGCATTGTCCCTGAGCTTTTTTTTACTCAAGGCTAGTGTCTACCACTTTGAGCCACTGCTCAAACTTCCAGGTTTTAGGTGCTTAATTGGAGATAAGAATCTCATTAAAAAAAAAAAGTTGAGGATTCTCAGATCTCAGCCTCCACTCTGAGTAGCTAGGATTACAGGATGAGCCACTAGCACCCAGCCATTTAAGCCGTTTTATAAGAGAAACAAAATGTGGGTTTTTTCAGGAAATAGAAATAAGAGATTTGTGTGAGCAGCCATCACCTGGCTCATAATAGTTTTAAGTGTGTAACTTGAGGCATTTTTTTTCTTGCCTAGGGCCAATATGTCTAGTAGACTTCAACACAGCAGTCTGTCCATGTGGCTCATAACTATCACCACTTGATAGCAATGTAAGTGCAGAATTTGAGGAGATAACAGGAAAAACTAAATCTTTGAATACTACATCCGAATAGTCACTTAGGAATTTTTTTTTCTACTTATTCATCAGGGGTGTTTTATTTCTATTTGGAACAAACTTTTTTTTCTGTAATAGGATGTTTTAATTCATTTTAAGGCTAAGGAAAACATTGGATAATATTAAAGTATAAGACATTGAGGGACAATGATGGAATGGGTGACATTGATAAAAATCATTGTACTCACTCTGACATGTTGAATGGAAACCCCTTTGTACAACTACGAAAAGATAATTTTAAACATTTAATTTATATATAAGTAAAAGTTAAATACTAACTTCCATAGATGAAAACTTAGAAGATATTGGCAATATGAAAAATACACAAATGTGAAAACAAAAGAGGTGATGAATACTCTATAATTAGCGAGTTAGAATTCAATAGACATGTCTTGAACTCAGTGCCAACATTGAGGTTATATGCTTTTGTCAAAACATAGGGTACATATAAAATTCCAAAAAGCAAATCAAGTAGAAAAATACATCTCACTACTACAAGCAGTATAACAAAATGTTAATAATATTAGTAAAAACCAATGAAGGGATCATTGAGTAGTAAAATAGTGATATGATCTCTGGTCTTTGCAGACAGATAGGCCAGGGATTGGGTTATAATCCCATTGCAGATTTCACTGTGTTCCCCTGCCAATGTATTGAACATCATGAACCTTGGATCCCTTACCTAGAAATGTAACTATACTTTGCAAATTTGTCATGAAGGTTATCACAAATTTTGTAAAGAAAATAAGAGTTAAAAAGTAAAAACTGAGTCACTTGGTATGATCTTGCACATAAATTTTAAATTATAAATTTGAGTGACAAAAGGGGAAAGATGTTGGTAATAATAGATATATATATATTAATGAAAGATCCAATATCCATTTTGTACATTTACTTGAATTATTTCTGTACTGCTACAATATTCTATGTTCACTTTAATGTAGTTTTAAAATACTAAGAATGAACTCAAGTATTAATTGATGTTCAGAACATTTTAGCTATAACACTCCTGGCTGATGGTAAGTACATTATCAATCTCATAGGAGTCTAGTTCTGTAATATATTTGATTATTATGACGATAGAAATCCTTTTCCTGGGGGCTGAGAAAGTGACTCAGTGGTAGAGTGCTTGCCTTGTATGCATGAGGCCCTGGGTTCGATTCCTCATCATCACATAAGCAGGAAAAGCTGAAAATGGTTCTGTGGCTCAAGTGTAGAGCACTAGCCTTGAGCTGAAGAGCTGAGCGACAGTGCCCAGAGTTTAGGCCCCACGACAAAAAAAAAAAGTCCTTTTCCTTCCCTTCTTTCCTTCTTTCCTTCTTCCCTTCCTCCCCTCCTCTTCCCTTCCATCCTCTTTCCTCCCCTCCCCTCCTCTCCCCTTCCCTCTCTTGTTCTTTCTCCCCAACCGTACCCTGAGCTTTTTTTGCTCAAGGCTGACACTCCTCCACTTGAGCCACAGTTCTTCTTTTGGCTTTTTAGTGGTTAATTGACTTTCACTGACTTTCCTGCCTAGGCCAGTTTTACATTGTGATCCTCAGATTCCAGCCTCCTGAGTGGCTAGGAGTGAGTGAGTGACCAGTGAGTGCTCAGCTAACTTTTATCTTCCTCTCCTTCTTTCCTTCCTTCCTTCCTTCCTTCCTTCCTTCCTTCCTTCCTTCCTTCCTTCCTTCCTTCCTTCCTTCCTTCCTTCCTTCCTTCCTTCCCTCCCTCCCCTCCTCCCTACCTTTCTTTCTTTGTTTTTCTTTCTCTTTCTACCTTACCTTACCTTACCTTCTTGCTGGGTATCAAACCCAAGGCCTTGTGTATGGTCAGCAAGCATTCTACCACAGTACTATATTCCCAGCTCAGTTATGATGATTTTTGTGTTGTTTCCTTCAGGTGAAATTCCTAAGCAAGTTAAAGTGAAAAAATTGAAGAACCTAAAGACTCTGGATTCTAAACCTGGTACTGACTTAAAGAAAATTAAATATATACTTAGCATAATAGTTAGACTTTTCTGTTTACTTTCTTTTCTTTACTTCTTAGGAGTTTATACTTCTTACAAGCCATATCTAAATCGAGATGAAGAGATCATAAAACAATTACAGAAGGTAATTAATTACTTGTTCATATGGGTAATTTATACTTTCTTTTGTAGGTATGTAATATCTAGTTAGGCATGTTTGCTTTGTGTATCATTATGTGACACAGAGTCTTGTTATTAAATAAAAGCTTCATAAAAATCAAGAAACTGGGGCTGGGAAGGTGGCTCAGTGGTTGAGCGCTTGCCTTGCATGCACGAGGCCCTGGGTTTAATTCCTCAGCACCACATATGCAGAAAAAGCCGGAAGTGGTGCTGTGGCTCAAGTGATAGAGCGCTAGCCTTGAGCTGAAGAGCTGAGCCCCACAACCACAAAAAAAAAAAAAAGGAAACGGAAGTAGCCACAATTGTATGCTTGAATAATGGGGCTACAGCTATAAGTGCATACCACTCATTCTAGAAATTTAGGAGTGACTTAAAAAAATTATATTACATTGTCCAAAAAAAAAAAAGAAGAAGCTGGGTGTCGGTGGCTCACACCTGTAATCCTAGTTACTCAGGAGGCTGAGATCTGAGGATCATGGTTTGAAGCCAGCTGAGGCAAGAAAGTCTGTGAGACTCCAATCTCCAAAAAACAACCAGAAAACCAGAAGTGGGGCTGTGGCTCAAGTGGAAGAATGGTAGCCTTGAGCAGACAAGCTCAGGGACAGCACCCAAGCCCAGAGTTCAAGCCCTGTGGCCAACAAAATAAAAAAAAAAAAAGAAATGTACTCATTACCTGACTTTGTAACTACAGTCATTCTATAACAGCAATTTTTTTTGGGGGGGAAGGGGGTCCGGTCGTGGGGCCTGAACTCTGGGCCTGGGCGCTGTCCCTCAGCTCTTCAGCTCAAGGCTAGCACTCTACCACTTGAGCCACAGCGCCACTACTACAGTTACTCTGTACATCATCACCTCTATAACAATAAAAATGTCTTTCAATAGTATTAATTTAGCAAATGTGAAATAACTGTTGTCTCCTTTGATATTTTAAAGTATGAGATGATTTTCCTAATCTAAAGTCTCTCTCAGAGTTTTCTCTTAAGATTCTGTTTTCCAATTTATTTTTTAAATTGATACACAAAAATGAAAGAGTTACCAGTGAGATACAACATGCTGTTCTGGTATATGGCTATTGTATAGTATAGTGTTTATATCAGGTTAAACATACTTGTCTCTTCATATTATTTCTTTGTTTTTTGTTTTTTGGGTTTTTTTGGGGTCCGGTTGTGGGGCCTGAACTCTGGGCCTGGGCGCTGCCTCTCAGTTCTTCAACTCAAGGCTAGCACTCTACCACTTGAGCCACAGCGCCACTTCCGGCATTTTTTCTTTTTGCTTATGTGGTGCTGGGGAGTCGAACCCAGGGCCTCAGGCATGCAAGGCAAGCGCTCTACCACTGAGCCACCTTCCCAGCCCCGATTTCTTTGTGGTAAAAATATTCAAACTCTTTTCTACTAGTGTTTTTGAGACTGATCTCTGGTCTTTGGCGGCAGATAGGCCAGAGTTTGAATTATAACCCATTGCAAATTGCACTGTGTCCTCTGCCAATGTGTTGAACCTCCTGAACATAATTATTATCTATGGTTTCCAATTGCACAACAGCCCATCAGACATTGTTCTTACCTATCATTTAGTACCTTTTGACCAACTTAAAAAAATTAATATACTTTCTTGTTATTATAGAGGTGATGTACAGAGGGATTAAAATTACCTGAGTCAGATAATGAGTACATTTCCTTTTGTGCAGTGTCTTCTGTTCCTTCACTGTCTCTCCCTTCCATCTCCATCTGTAAGTTGTATAGTTCACTTTCATTAATGTCTAGAGAGCTCCACGGCTGCACTTTTCCACCCCATTTTCCTCAAACTCTGTGTCCTCCTTACCCCCACCCAAAGACATACACGTGAATATTCCATACATAAGTCAAAGAAGACAGTATCATCAAAAACTGAAAACTAACAAATAGTCTTTTGTTTCCATATCTTAGAGTTTGTTTCAGTTTGCATATTATTTTAGATAAATATGAAGAGACACTTAGGCATTGCACCTTTGTGATTCTCTCCTAAGTGTATCCTCTTTTGGTCTCGTTGTGTGTGAGTATCTAGAATCGTGTATATCCCAGTGCATTTTAGATCTAACTTGTGCATATCAGAGAGAACATGTGCTTTTGTCTTTCTTAGCTTGGCTTATCTCATTTAACATGATTTGTTCTAGTTCTGTCCATTTCTCTGACATTATTTCATTCTTTCTCATGGCTGTATAAAATTCCACTGTGTATAGGTACACTTTTTGGATCCACTCATCTATTGTAAGGTATCTGGGCTGTTTCCATTTCTTGGCTAGTGATCAACTGTTTGCATTCCTTTCCCCCCTTCTCTTTCCAGCCTCTGTCTAAAGATTATTTTCACAAGATGTAATAAAATGAACTTTAAATCACATTACTTGAAGAAAGTTTTTTGTTTTTTTTCAGGCAGGAAAAATTTATTTACTGAACTGCTGCCCCTGCCATGCATGGTGGAGAGGCATGGCTGAAAAGGAAAAAAGGGGCGGGGGAGCGACCCACTCCTGGGCCAGGACTTATCTAGGCCAGGGACAGGAAGAGGTGTGGCCAGGTAGGAGAAAGGTGTGGCCACACTGGATCTAGTTGTGACCTCAGGGTTTAGGACCCCCCCCCCAGCAAAATTTTAAGTTTCTAAAAAATGTCAAGTATGAACGCATATCTATATAGTAATTGAACTTGATAATTGTCCATTGTTTTGTATTATCTGACACAGAAGATGGATTCTCCTTGTATTCTTTTTTAAGGGTGTACAACAGAAACGTCCTTCTGAAGCACAAAGTGTTATTCTCCGGCGCTATTTTTTGGAACTGACACAAAGCTTCATCATTCCATTAGTAAGTTAAACACATCTGTGATTAATTTAATATTTTGTTGAGCATATGAATATTTCCCCGGTATTTCTTATCTTTTTTTGATTGGAAATTGAGCACAAGGGCTCACACGTGTGTGGCAAGTTGTTTCACCATTGAGCTGCATTCTCGGCCAGACTTTATCTTTTTTGGTGTTTGTATTTGAGAAGACAGGGTATCCTTGGGAACCCAATCTAGACCTTTAACTTGTGATCCTTCTGCTTCAGCCACATGAATGCTGAGATTATGGTGCCTCCATAATCATTTGTAGTGCTGAGGATTGAACTCAGGTCCTTGTGCTTGCTAGACAAGTACTTGAAAAATTCTGTAGTTTTACCAGTTAGTGTTTAGTGATTTAAAATAGAGCAAGAAACCTGATTCTTTGTTGTGTTAACTGTGTAGCTTTGGAAGTCAGTACCTCTGACCTTCAATTTGCCTATCTGTAATCTGTGACCGATAATACTTTCCCAGAATGCTTTTCAGGTTTATTATAAATCTAAAATGAGATAACTGATACCAATTACTTTTTATTTTGCAAAAATTTATAGTCTTCTATTTTCAGTTTTTTTGTTTTTGTTTTTTGTCTGGTCGTGGGGCCTGAACTCTGGGCCTGGATGCTGTCCCTCAGCTCTTCAGCTCAAGGCTAGCTCTCTACCACTTGAGCCACAGCGCCACTTCCGGTTTTTTTCTTTTTTGCTTATGTGGTGTTGAGGAATCGAACCCAGGGCCTCATGTATGCAAGGCAAGCGCTTTACCACTGAGCCACCTTCCCAGCCCTATTTTTGTTTTTTTTTTTTTTTTTAAGTAGATGCATTTGCTTCAACTAAAGCTGCTTTTCATACAAAACTAAACACAAATGATGAGATTAATCCACAATCCAGAGTAATGAAGAGTAAAAGATACCAGCTAAATGCCTTTCACAATAAACGGTTCATCCAAAATGATTATCGAATAATCAGAAGTTGAAGTCCTTATATTACAAAAGCAAGATAAGTTTGTATATGAACTGTAACATGGAGTTTGCAGCTGCATTTTGGGTTTTTTTTTTTTTTGGTCCGGTTGTGGGGCCTGAACTCTGGGCCTGGGCGCTGTCCCTCAGCTCTTCAGCTCAAGGCTAGCGCTCTACCACTTGAGCCACAGCGCCACTTCCGGCTTTTTTTCTTTTTGCTTATGTGGTGCTGAGGAATTGAACCCAGGGCCTCAGGCATGCAAGGCAAGCGCTCTACCACTGAGCCAATTTCCCAGCCCGGTTTTTTGTTTTTTTTTCTTTTTTGCTGGTCGTGTGACCTGAACTCTGGGCCTGAGTGCTGTCCCTAAGCTCTTGAGCTCAAGGCTAGCGCTCTACCACTTGAGCCACAGCGCCACTTTTTTTTCTGCTTATGTGGTACTGAGGAATTGAACCCAGGACCTCAGGCATGCAAGGCAAGCACTGTAGCACTGAGTCACCTTCCCAGCCCCTGTATTTTAGTTTGTTTATTACTTCATAACTATTAGCATCATTAAATGTAGTCCTCAGGACATACCCTGCATCTGTTTAAATTAGACATAATATTTTCTTCCATTGTGTCAATACAGAGTCACAATATTTTGGACAGGCCTTTGATGTAGTATTTTTTTTGATCAGTACTCAAAGTTTTACACTTGTTACACCACAGTAAGTAACACCTTCATTTGAGCCATACTTCTTATTGAGTAGAAAAACTCCAGATTCAAGTTTTTTACCTATTTATTGTTATAACACAGGTCACTTTTGTGACTCCAAGAGGGGTAACTGGAAAGTAAGCAATCAGTTTTGCAGCAGATACTACGAGTGTCCTGTAATTTAGTTCTTTTTTTTTTTTTTGGGGGGGGGGTCCAGTCGTGGAGCCTGAACTCTGGGCCTAGGTGCTGTCTCTCAGCTCTTCAGCTCAAGGCTAGTGCTCTACCACTTGAGCCAGAGCGCCACTTCCGGCTTTTTCTTCTTTTTGCTTATATGGTGCTGAGGAATCGAACCCAGGGCCTCAAGCATGCAAGGCAAGTGCTCTACCACTGAGCCACCTTCCCAGCCCCCTGTAATTTAGTTCTGATACTGTATCCCTAGAGATAGCTTCACCTCTCACAGGTTGAGGATTCACTTTCCAAGTTTGTTCCTCTCCACTTTATATGCCAGGCACAAGTCCCAGGTTTTATCTGTAGTTTTGACTAAACAGCTACAAGTTGCAGTTCCTTCAACCCTTTGTTGATGTTTAGCTTACTTGAATGGCTTAGAGAACTCAGAAACATTCAACACTAGCTGGCGTATTGTAAAGGATATTACAAAGAAAGGATGAAGAAAATAGAGGCACAGGGCAAGATATAGGGGAAGAATGTAGAGCCTCCCTGCCTTCTCCATGTATGTTGTTCTGTGGGAAACTTGTATGTTTAGCTTTCTATAGACTCTTCAGATCCTGTCTTTTGGACTTTTTTTTCTTTTTTTTTTTTGGTCATAGGGCTTGAACTCTGGGCCTGAGTGCTGTCCCTTAGCTCTTCAGCTCAAGGCTTGTACTCTATCACTTGAGCCACAGTGCCATTTCAGGTTTTCTGGCGGTTTATTGGAGAAAAGAGTCTCATGATCTTTCCTGCCTAGGCTGGCTCTTAACTGCAATCCTCAGACCTCAGCCTCCTGAGTAGCTAGCTGTAATCAGGCATGAGCCACCAGTGCTCAGCTGTCTTTTGGATTTTTATGGAGACTTCATTACATATGTTTGACTGAAGCATGGATAACTAACTGTGTCAAATGTCATTAGAAAAAAAGAATATGTATGATCCGGTGCTGTCAAGACTCAGTGGAGAAAGTAAGATCTATTTGTTCCTTGTTTGAAGGTATGGAGTAAAGTTCTTATGTGAGGGTCTTATCTTCTGTCAGACAAAGTAGAAGAGGATTGTTTTATTAGACCAACAACTCACAGGTAGAGACAGGGGAAGATTAGAGTTTCTATGATCCTATCTTGGGAGAAGAGAAATTCTAGTTTTTGTGGTCTTGGGGAAGGATTTATGAGCTAAGAACTGTCGCTGAAGGCCCAAAGATACATATCAAAATATCACGGTTGAAAATCTATTTTATTAAAGTTTTTAAGATATCTGAGTAAGAAAGTAAAGTTAGGAGTAACTTTCATTAACATTTTGGTTTTCTTTTCTTAAATGGTTTTAGGAAAGGTATGTGGCAAGCTTGATGCCTCTACAGAAGAGTATTTCTCCATGGAAGGTAAAAAATTTAAATACTTAGGTAATATTAATAATCATATAATAATATTTAAATAATTTCTTTTTTGTGTTCTGTTAAGTAATACTATCTTCTTTTAATATATCCATTCCTTATTTCTTTTTTTAAAAACAATAACAGTTGTTATCATTTATCGAGTATTCTGAACTAGGAATTTAAAAAATTTGTTGTTATAAAGGTGATGTACAGATGTCATTCCTAATTTCTAATTATGTTTTGTTTTCTAGAGTCCCCCTCAATTAAGACAGTTCCTTCCAGAAGAATTTATGAAGACACTTGAGAAAACAGGACCTCAGCTAACTTCTAGAATAAAAGGAGATTGGATTGGACTTTACCGGTTAGTCTCTTTTATCCCCATCTGTGGAGCTTTACTTAAAAAGAAAATGAAATGAGTGACTCGACATACGCTTAGATTGATTATTTATTTATTTATTTATACTATTGGATTTTGAACTCAGAGTCTTGTGCTTGCTAGGCAGATGCTCTACTGCTGAGCCATACTTTCAATCTTTTTTGCTCTGTTTTTGTTTGTTTTTTGGTGATACTGGGTTTGGACTTAAGGCCTTATGCTTGTTTTGCTTGCTAGCCTAACTGATACTCTACCACTTGAGCCATCTCCTGCCCAGCTTTTTTACAGGTTTTCTTAGAGAGGAAGTCTTTTGGACTTCCTTCCTGGATTTCAACCAAGGTCTTTTGGATCTCAGCCTCCTGAGTAGCTAGGGTTATATACATGAGCCACTTTTCATACTTCCAGTCAATATTTCCCTTTTTGCCCAGTCTGCACCAGAATTGCTATCTGCCTATTCTGTGCTTCTCAGTGATCTAGATGACAGATATGTATCACAATGCCCAGCTTCTTCCAGTGAGATGAAGTTTTAAGAACTTTTGTTTCTACAATGACCTAGGTCCTCCTGATCTCAGCCACTTACATAGCTGAGATCTAGTGGCATGTATCACCATACTCAGCTAATGGTTGAAAAAAGGTCTTGCATGAATGCCTGGGATGACTTTGGGCTGTGATCCTCCCAATCTCAGCCTCCTAAGTAGCAACTATTATAGATGTGAGGCACCAGTCCTTGGTTTAAATTTAGAAACTTAAAAAAGTAGCTGGGTGCCGGTGGCTCACACCTGTAATCCTAGCTACTCGGGAGGCTGAGGTCTGAGGATTGTGGTTCAAAGCCAGCCAGGGCAGGAAAGTCCGGGCAAGAAAGTCTTGGCAGGAAAGTCCGTGAGACTCTTATCTCCAATAAACCACTAGAAAACCAGAAGTGGTGCTGGCTTAAGCGGTAGAGCACTTGCCTTGAGCTGAGGATCTGAGGGACAGTGCTCAAGCCCAGAGTTCAAGCCCCACGACCGACCGAAAAAAAAAAAAAAGAAAATTAAAAAAGTCTACTATCTGACATGATTTTTATGGTCTATAAGAAAAATATTGAGGAGAGGAAAGAAATGATAGTGAATCTTTGCTTTTCTGAACTTTATTTTTTGTAGGCATTTTCTAAAGTCTCCAAATTTTGATGGCTGGTTCAAGACCCGGAGGAAAGAAATGACCCAAAAATTGGAAGCACTCCATCTAGAAGCTCTTTGTGAAGAGGTTAGAAAACAGTGTGTTGGTGTGATTGCTAACTAGTAGTGACAATAATAATATTCTTAGAGGTTTAAAACATGCTGGCCGCTGGTGATTCATGCCTGTAATCCTAGCTACTCAGAAGGCTGAGATCACAGTTCAGTGCCAGCCAGGGCAGGAAATACCATGAGCCTCTTTTCTCCAATACACCACCAGAAAACCAGAAGTGGCGCTGTTGCTCAAGCGGTAGAGTGCTAGCCTTGAGCTAAAGAGCTGAGGGACAGCACCCAGGCCCAGAGTTCAAGCCCCATGACTGACAAAACAACAACAACAAAAAAAACCAGTACCTTGCATCTACTATAAATGGTAATCATAGTTAACTTTTCAAGATCTTGTGCTATATAACTACTCAGGGACTACAGAGCCTCTTTATGTGGTGACTCCTTTATGATCTTCACAATAATTCATTGAGGTAGGTATGTTATGACTTGCATTGTGTACCACCTGTCACTTAGAAGTTAAGTGAACTTGCCAGAGTTTACCTCACACCAAGTAGAAGAGCTGGCAGTGCTGTTCTTGCATTCGTCAACAAGTGCTAATTATGTACCTCTCTTTCCAGTTTTTCATTCAATGACCTCAGATTGGTAGGTGAATAGGAATATTATACTGCAGAAAGTGAAAAATAGATCAGGTCCTTCTTTCCCTGAAGAGTTGAAAATATGTACCAGTAAATATTTACCAGTATATTCTGGAGTCAAGATTTAAATTGCTGCAGTCTCAACTTCAGCAGGTGTGACTTATTTACTTCTTCGAGTTAGTGTTAACAATCTTCTCATGTGCCTACTGTATTTAATTTTTTATCTGTAATATCACCAGCTTATTTTCAATTAAACTACTTGTGAAAGCATAGAGCATATTCTTATTTACATTGTATTTAGCTTTAAATGTTAAAGTGGAATAGACTCATTATTATCTTCCTAATCATAAACTCCCAGTGGTTGTGCTTTTGAGAAAATAATACGATAAAGAAACCAGAAAGAAGGCTAAGAAGAGCTTATTTGAAGATACAAAGTAGCACATTTATATTATGTTACTCGATTTCTTAGCTGGCATTCCTTATAAATTACTCACTACCATAGAGGACTGCAGTTTTTCTTTTTTCTTGCTTGTCCTTAAAGGTCCACCTCAGAAAGGAACTTTCTATATTTTGTTTTACTTCCAAATACTAGACAGTACTGGATCATGTCTAAAATTGCTTAATTAATGACTTGTAGATCTTCATGACAATTATTCTTATACTGTACTACTGTGTCTGAGTATGTCTTCTTCCTTTCCATTAGCCTTGCCTGTTGAGATAGAGAGATTTGAATATCATTTTGAGTACATATTGATTTGGGATTTGCTTATTGTTCTAGGACCTACTTCTCTGGATCCAGAAACACACAGAAGTAGAAACAGTAGACCTTGTATTGAAGCTGAAAAATAAGCTGGTATGTAATTAAAGCAATTGAAGATTAAATTGAGGGCTGGGAATATGGTTTAGTGGTAGAGTGCTTGCCTAGCATTCATGAAGCCCTGGGTTCAATTCCTCAGTACCACATAAACAGAAAAAGCCAGAAGTGGGACACAGTAGGTCAAGTGGTAGGATGCTAGCCTTGAGCAAAAAGAAGCTCAGGGACAGTGCCTAGGCCCTGAGTTCAAGCCCCAGGACTAAATTGAGAGGTAGTAACATGAATCAAGTGGTAGAACATCTGCCTAAAAAGTGGAAAGCCCTAAGCTCAATCCCTAGTACCTCAAAAAAAAAAAAAAAAGGTTGAATCGACTCCTGTGGAGATATTTTCTTCTTATTTGAGCTGATAATGTATTGTGTATGTCACAGAAGTAACTTGATTTTTCCTTCTTTTTTTCTTTTTTTTTGGTGCCGGTACTGGGGGGCTTGATGATCTCATGGCCTGGGTGCTGCTGTCACTTGGCTTGTTTTTGCTCAGTGCTAGTGTTTTACCATTTGAGCTTCAACTCCACTTCCGGCTTTTGGCGATTAGTTGGAGATGAGAGTCTCATGGATTTTTCTGCCTTGGCTGGCTTTGAACGTCACTTTTCAGATATAAGCCTTCTGAGTCTCTAGAATTACAGGTGTCAGCCACTGGTGCTGGCAAAACCTTTAGGATTTTAAATAAGACTTGTAAGCCAAGACTTGTAAGGGGCGTTTGTTGCTTATGCCTGCTTTTGCAGCTGCCCAGATCCCAAGGACCTTGACACAGCTAGTATCACAAAGCTAATCTGCTTTGGTCCAGGGAGCTGAATGGCTTGCTTTCTGAGGCCCTTGTTTTGCTTGGTTGTTCACATGGGTGACAGCAACACTTAGACCTTTGGAAATATGGCAGTAGGGTTCCAATAGCATCCAGCAATTGATCTTCTCTCTTGGTTAGAAATAACTGTGTGTGTGTGTGTGTGTGTGTGTGTGTGTGTGTACACACGTGCACACGTGCCAGTGCTAAGTCTTGAATTCAGGGCCTGGGCACCGTCCCTGAACTTTTTTGCTTACAGCTAACACTCCAGCACTTGAGCCACAGATACAATTCTCAGACTTTTCCTGCTCTGGCTGGCTTTGAGCATGGTCTCCTTAGATCTAAGCCTACTGAGTAGTTAGCATTACAGATGTGAGCCACCGACCCCTGGCAGAAGTAATTCTTTTTTTTTTTTGGTCAGTCATGGGGCTTGAACTCTGGGTTTGGGCGCTGTCCCTCAGCTCTTCAGTTCAAGGCTAGAACTCTACCACTTGAGCCACAGCACCACTTCTGGCTTTCTGGTGGTTTATTGGAGATAAGAATCTCATGGACTTTCCTGCCTGGGCTGGCTTTGAACCATGATCCTCAGATCTCAACCTCCTGAATAGCTAGGATTACAGGTGTGAGCCACCAGCACCTGGCAGAAGTAATTTTTCAAATGAGAGGACTTCAGATTGGTCAGTTGATGGCAGACCAAATTAAAAATATTTGATCATTCACAGAGATCATGATGATAACATATTATTTAAAAATATTTACAGGGCTGGGAAGGTGGCTCAGTGGTAGAGCGCTTGCCTTGCATGCATGAGGCCCTGGGTTCGATTCCTCAGCACCACATAAGCAAAAAGAAAAAAGCCGGAAGTGGCGCTGTGGCTCAAGTGGTAGAGCGCTAGCCTTGAGCTGAAGAGCTGAGGGGCAGCACCCAGGCCCAGAGTTCAGGCCCCACCACTGGACCCAAAAATAAATAAATAAATAAAAATAAAAATATTTACATGGCCAGGCACAATGATTCATGTCTATAATCTTGGCTACTCAAGAAGGTTTGTACTTCTGTGTGTTTCTGGCTACTCAAGAGATATGAGAACTGAAATTCAAAGCTACCCTGGGAAGGAAAACGATGTGAGACTCTTATTTCCAGTTAACCACCAAAAAGCTAGAGTGGAACTGTGGCTCAAAAAAGCTAAGGGACAATGCCCAGGCCCTAAGTTCAAGTTACAAATAACACCAAAAACAATTGTTTTACATAGAGTCTAATTAAGTCTCCAAAAATACTGTCATGGTCAGTATAATAAAGTAGGCCTGTTATCCATGAATTTATAGAGAAGCCTTTTGCTGAGTTCAGCAGTGTATTATTTAAATGGCACATTATTATTTGTTTTTTTAGTTATGTAAATTCTAAGACTGAAAGTTTCTAAGTTGTCAGACCATTAAAAATGTTTACACATAGAGACTATAATTATTACTACAGACTCATTTAAATGCTGCCAATTGTTCTTTGTGTAGTTACAGGCTGACCGAGAACATTTACCTGTGAAACCTGACACTGTGGAAAAGTTACGGACACACATAGATGCAATTATTTTAGCTTTGCCAGAGGATCTGCAAGGCATACTGCTCAAAACTGGCATGACATGATAGTTACCAGAATTTTGCGGCCAAAAAGGAATGTGCACCAGGAAGCATACTGACATTTCAACTACACGCACAAGGGCAGCAGAGTGGAAAATAGCCGTGAATGCTAGACACAGGGTGGAAAGACTGTGTTGTATAAACAGACCTTTTTAGTGCATTATTTTTAAATATGGATATCTGTGGTGGTTTGCTTTAATACTGAAGCACCGAAAGGCATTTCTATATTTTTAATCATGTTCTAAAGTGCTCTTAATAGAGACCTGTGGGGCCATCAGTATAAGTGATTCCAAACTGCAGTGCTGGCATTGCAGGTATTTTTTTTAAACTGGTGCTGCTTTGCCCAATCATGTTGAAACTCAGGGGGATTTAAAAATAACATTCACACTGGCTATCTTCTTAAGAAGGAAAAGACGGAACTGTCCAACTATAGTTACAAGTAATTGATGCTCGTGTAGTGCCTTCTGTTGTCCTATATATTTCACAAAGGCCAGCTGCTAGTCTTGAAGCTTTTTCTTGGCTTATGATTTGTAATTTTATACGACATTTGGTTCAGGAATCATTGCTTTAAAATACTTTTCTTGCCCCCTTCATTGTGTCTATTAGTTGAAATGGTGGGTTTTAAAAAAAAATTGTCATTTAGAATTTTCATCTCACTGCTTACCATTTTCAAAATTTAGTCTTACTAGCTTCACCAAGGGCAAGAAGGCATCAAGTATTAATTACAGAAGAGTTCATTTTCTTTTACTCTTTATTAATTGGGCCTATGTAAATTACATAAGTAGTTTTTTAAAACACATCCTAATTATGAACTTCATAATTAGCTACTTCTTAAAAACGGGATTATTCTTCAAAGGCATCCATAAGCTTTTTAAGTGATAGTTATTTGAGTGGTTTTATAAGATTAATATTCAGCATTATTTGTTACTTAGTATAACTTTCCCTAAATAAATGTTTCTCAGAACACTTTCGCTAATGTTTGACGTGGAAACTTTTACCTGAATCACTGTTATAATTGTTGTTTTTTTTAATAATTGTTGACATTTATTTTTTTAAATAAGTTTTTTTATTGTGAAAATACTGTACAGAGGGGTTACAATCACATGAGCAAGGTAATGAGTACATTTCTTATCAAGCATTGTTGCCTCCTCCTTTGTTTTTCCCCTACCATCCCTTGACACTTATTTTTATTTTGTTTATACTACCTTGCCAAAAATAGAAGATGTTACTTGGTATAGAAAGAGTATTTGGCTTGTGTTTGAATGGGAGTGTCTTGCAGAAGCCACTATTTAAAATAGGCACATACAGTGTAGCACATATGCAAATAGCTGTGTCTTAAAAACAACCTCTAAACAGCCAAATTTAGTTCTATGTATTTGTAAAAGGAATAGCTTCAGAAACTCTCGTTCTCTGTTGGTGTAAGTCTCTAAGGGCATTCAAACCCAATATAAGCTCCTTGTGTTTGTAACTGTGGTCTAATACCCAAGTGGGCCCCTTTCTCTGGATACTGTCCCTTGCAACATACCTCTAAGTCATAGAAAGAATGTGGCTTTTGGAAGAGATCAATTTGCCTTGGATCATATGGGTGATTTTGTGAAGCAACAGTTGACCTTTCAGAAGAGGGCAACTTCTTTTATATACTCAAGTATTTCATAACTTCCTGGGAAACTTTATTTAGGTAAAAATGGTCATGTTATTATTTTTCAAAAAGGTGTATTTTAATAATCTCACAATTTATATACAGTCTGTGACCTGAATTTGAAAGTTGTTAGTGTCATATCAAGCATCTTTTAAATTATGCCACTACAGGATGTATCATTTCAAGTTTATTTTGCACAGCTAAGGAGTAGCAAAAGATGCCAATTAGCATGTTATCATGCTAATATTTACTGTATTAAACTGAAACTTAACACATGTTGAAAACCATACCATACTCAATTTAACTCTTAATTTCAAATTATGTACTTGTAAGAATAACTGGGAAAGACTGACTGGTAACTTAATTTTTTGTACGATTTTCAGAATTGTCTTTTTTTTTTTTTTTAGAAAAATTCATTAATATCTAAACCCTGCCATTTAATGTGTTATCTCCACCAGCATCAAAAGGAATCACTGCTTTAGGGTGTTATGTAATGCCTAGTGCCTTCTATTTACAGTGAAAAAGAGATTTTTGGGGAGGCATTTATGGTCATTACTAAAAAAATGAATTAAAGACCTTGGATTTTAAAATACTTGGATATCTTGTGTTATTTCAGAGTGAGTTTGGAATGCTTGGAAAAAGAAGAGTAATTGAACTTTCACTATATGAGATTCATTTTATTTCCTACCAAGATTCATTCTCTCTCTCTTTCCTTTCCCTCCCTCCCTCTCTCTTTCTTTCTCTCTTTCCTTCTTTCTTTTTCTTTCCTTCCTTCCTTCTCTCTCTCTCTCTCTCTCCCTCTCTCTCCTTTCCTCTCCCTTCCCCTCCTGTCCCCAACCTCCCTTTCCCAATCCTCTCTTCTCCCTGGGCTTGAACTCAGGGGTGCTGTCCCTGAGCTCTCTTGCTCAAAGCTAGTGCTCTGCCTGAAAGGATCCATCACATCCATGCCAGGGGACCATGTGGAGGCAGGCAGGCAGGCACAGGAGAAAGATTATTGCGAGGAGCCATATTTGCCCCGGAGAGGGAGCGCGTGGTAACCTCCACTATCTAGGTAGCAGCACGGTCTAGGGTAGGGGTGAGGTAGATGGGAACTTAGGTGAGTCTGGGTAGAGAGAGGGCGGGGCCAGCTGTGTGGTGGGAACTCCAGGGCAGGGAGGAGCTCAGGTCCAGGTGGAGCTGAGGACCAGAGGCGGGCATAATGCTTACACTACCATCTTGAGCCACAGTTCCATTACTGGTTTTTGAGTGATTAATTGGAGATAATCACCAGGACTCTCCTGCCTGGACTGGCTTTGAACTGTGACACTCAGATCTCAGCCTCCTGAGTAGCTAGGATTACAGGCATGAGCCACTGGAGCCCAGGCTAAATTTCTCTTTCTCTCTCTCTTTCTCTCTCTATCTCTCTGTCTCTCTTTTTTGTTGGTCATGAGGCTTGAACTCTGGGCCTGGGTGCTGTCCCTCAGCTCTTAAGCACAAGGCAAGCGCTCTACCGCTTGAGCAACAGCACCACTTCTGGTTTTCTATTGGTTTATTGGAGATAAGAGTCTCACAGACTTTCCTGCCTGGGCTGGCTTTGAACCATCATCCTCAGATCTCAGCCTCCTGAGTAGCTAGGATTACAGGCATGAGTCACAGGCGTCCAGCTAAATTCTCTTTTTAAAGTAAAGTTTTCCATTTTAAAAAATTTCTTCTTCTGTAAAAGAAATAGCAAATATCTATGCTCTAGTAGAACACTTGCTTACTATATTCAAGGCCTGGGTTTAATCCCAGAAAAGAAAGAAAAAAGAATCTTCAAAGTAGCTATATGTACTTTCGATTTTTATCTTATTTGTTAAAATATTATAATTGGATATTTCTTTTTGAAATTATTAAATGGTATCCTTCAAGAAATATGGTAAAATATTCATACATTTAAGAGATCCCATACCTTGAGTGCCAGGGGCTCATGTCTGTTAATTCTAGCAATTCAGGAGGATGAGAGCTGAGGATCATGGTTAATCCAGCCCCAGTAGGAAGGTCTGGAAGACACAATAAACAATCAGAAAGCCAGAAGTGGATCCATGGCTTAAGTGGTTGAGTTCAAGCCTTGAGTAGAAAAGCTAAGGGATAACAGTAGACCGAGTTCAAACCCCAGTACCTGAATAAAATAAAAAAATAACAATGGGGCTGGGAAGGTGGCTCAGGGGTAGAGCGCTTGCCTTGCATGCATGAAGCCCTGGGTTCGATTCCTCAGCACCACATAAGCAAAAAGAAAAAAGCCGGAAGTGGCGCTGTGGCTCAAGTGGTAGAGCGCTATCCTTGAGCTGAAGAGCTGAGGGACAGCACCCAGGCCCAGAGTTCAGGCCCCACGACCGGACCTCCCCTCCCCCAAGAAAGAAGGTCACCTATCACTTATATACAAAATACTGTCATTTGTTGGTTTGTACCTTCCTTCCTTGCACAAGACCAATAGAAACCTTGGTTAATGGAACCTTGGGATTTGTTGCTGGTGAAAGGCTACAGGTCCCCTGGTCCCCCAAACCTCAGTTGCATGGTCTGGTCTCTGGTTATAGGGTTGCTCCCAGGCATGGCATATTAAGGAGCACATGGCAGGTTGCAACACAAACAAACCTAACTTTCCCCAAACTGGTCGTTAGAGAAGGCAACAAGCTTGCCTATGGCTATTTATTTTCCTCTTTTAGACTAGGTCTTAGTATGTATACCAAACTTGAATTTGTAACCTTCCTCCTTGAGCCTCTAAGCTCTGGGATTACACGTGTGCATCAGCACAGTTGGCTCTGTATCTTACAATACTTGTAACTAAAATACATTAGCTCATATAATGACTAAGTTATCCTACATACCTGTTGACATCTGTTCCAAGACATTACTTACATTATGAGGAAATCAGCACTTGCTAATAAAACAAAGTCCTCAGTTTTCCCCATTATGCGTTTGTTTAAAATAGATCTAAATACAGAATTATGATTTCTCAAATTTACATTACATTTAACCAATTTTTTGTATAAACAAATTTTAAGCTAGTAGTTGATTGATGAATAGGTTTGTTTGGCAACTACAGCATTTCTAATGAACGATGTGTAGATATTGAGACAAAAGAAAAGTGGTGGTAGACTTCATCTGTATCTCTTGTGTTACTTCTGGTCTTTTAAGAGCCAGGCTTTCTCAGCTGTTTATACTTGAGTGCCATGCCTTTCTCCAAATTAAGATTATTTTTGTTACACAGGGTGTATGGTTCAAGTGGTTGTGTGTTTACCTAACAAGTAGAGGTTCTGAGTTCAATCTTTTTTCTTTGGTCAGTCGTGGGGCTTGAACTCTAGGTTTGGGCGCTGTCCTTGTGCTCTTCAGCTCAAGGCAAGCACTCTACCACTTGAGCCACAGCGTCACTTCTGGTTTTCTAGTGGTTTACTGGAGATAAGTCTCACGGACTTTGCTGCTTCGGCTGGCTTTGAATGGAGATCCTCAGATCTCAGCCTCCTGAGTAGCTAGGATTACAGGTGTGAGCCACCGACGCCGGGCTGAGTTCAGTCTTTAGTACACTAAAAAAGATTATGGTTGTCTCCTAATCGTACATCTCATGTTTTACTAGGTTTGCCACTTGTTTCATTTTTGCCATCCCATTCTCTGTTATAATACTATTTCTGCCTAGCAATTAGAAAGCTAAACTTCATGGAGCCATATTTTTCCCTGTTCCTCATGTTTTATGACAGCCAGTATGAATATGTTGTTATGATATAAATTGCTTCGAGGTTGGTTGAAATACTTTTGGAAATTAGTAACTTTAAAATTCTAGAGTTGAGCTGGGTGCTGGTAGCTCATGCCTGTAATCCTAGCTATTCAGGAGGTGGAGATCTGAGGATCACAGTTCAAAGCCAGTCTGGGCAGGAAAGTCCATGAGACTCTTATCTCCAATAAACCACCAGAAAACCAGAAGTCACGCTGTGGCTCAAGTGGTAGAGCACTTGCCTTGAGCTGGAGGGCTGAGGGACAGCGTCTAGGCCCAGAGTTCAAGCCCCATCACTGACAAAAAAAAAATTCTAGAGTTGTCATGCTTGTAATTAAGTGCACAAATTTTTATACTCTGTTAAGAAACTGTTGAAGTGATTGATTTAATAAAATTAGTCAATGTTTTTATAGTTCAAGGCTGTGATTGTGGGATGCAACAGATTGTGTGTGTGTTTTAAAAAAACAGCTTCTTTGCAGTATACTAGACATGATAGTTTCAACATATTTTTTTTTTTTTTTTTTTTGTCGGTCGTGGGGCTTGAACTCTGGGCCTGGGCGCTGTCCCTCAGCTCTTCAGCTCAAGGCGAGCGCTCTACCACTTGAGCTACAGCGCCACTTCCTCAACATATTTTAAATGTGCACTTTGATATGTTTTGACA